CCCAGAGGGTAAATTTTCCGATGAGGAGTGCGAAAATGCGATTCAAAATGTTCTTGGGAAGGAATGGGGGTTAACATCGCAAATCGACGCCGGTGGGAAAAATCTTAGCCAAGGACAGCGGCAGTTGGTTGGTATCGGACGCGCAGTTTTGCGAAAGAGTGGACTAGTTATCCTAGACGAAGCGACAGCATCAATCGATCGCGGGACTGCGGCCACAGTCCAAAAAGTCCTACGAGAGGGGCTGTCCAAGAGTACTGTTATCACCATTGCTCACAGACTCGAGGCTGTCGAGGACGCAAATTGGTGTCTCCGCCTTGAAAAGGGCCAGGTATTGGACTGTGGTCCCGCAAAGGACCTGGGCAAGAAGGCAAAAGAGGAGGAATCATGATCATAAAGGTATACCAAACAGAAAGACTGCTACACCTATTAAACGGCGATGGGCATCTGGTAGCTATCGACACATGTACTTATAGACAGGCGGCTTTTGGCCAAGGATTGGATGGCCATTGGTAGTAGGTACAGTTGATGGTACCAAGAATGATAGAGATATGGCGTGACGCTTGCGATGATTTCGACAAAGGGGGTTGTTGGTGTCTGGATACCGAAATAGCTCCCATCTCATATGTATTGCATCAATTGAAACGTCAAAATACGGAAGGTGTGAATGGTGTCCCAAAACAACTAGCCTAAAATATGAATAATATAAACTTAACACTCTTAAAATTGAGAAAACGCCAGGCTGCTAAGGCCACTAAATCAGGCGAAAAGTGTCGCTCTTTCCGCAGGCATAATCAGTCCGGGGAGGGGGAGTCCAGCGACAAGAGGTCGCGGGGCAGGTACAAGGGTTGACATGTCTAGACTTCAATGTTCCCGCGCACAGATCAGATTGCACGTGCCAGGGGAGCATGCAGCACGGCCTAGGTACCTAGGTACCTAGGTAAGTACTTGATGGTGGGATGGAGGGGCATAGTGCAAGTACCCCGCTGAATCGCGCGGCTGTGACACACGAAAATGGATGGTAATGGAGATGCCGATTGATTAAGTTATGTCTGGTACATACATAAAGTACCAAGGTACCTGGGTAGGCTCTCTATCCGGCCTGGCTACCGGCGCGGACCCGAACCTAAGGGCCCGCCGGGACCTACCAGTACCAATGACCCCTCCGGGAAAACCCTATGCCGTAATCCCCCTCAACCGCTGCTCTGACGCATCTTTCGAGCACCGCAGCTTTAAAACTTTGTGCGGATCGCGTCTTTTTTTCTCCTCTGCAATCTCAACGGCGGCACCCACGACAGCCAATTTTGATCCTGCGCAACATGACCATCACTGTCATTCTTGGGGCCCAATGGGGTATGTTTCTCTCCCTTGCCTGGAATACGTCCTTCCTCCGCACCCGACCGACATCGGTTCGATATCATTATACTGACCAGGACTTCTACAGGCGACGAAGGCGTGAGTACTCGGGGAGAACCCAATACAGCCAATTACACCCAGGAACTAACGATACTGCGTACTCAGAAGGGCAAGTTGGTTGATGGACAGTGCCAGGAGGCGCAACTCTGTGCTCGAGCCGCGGTAAGCACAACGCAGGCAGAATCCGGTCGACCAAACGGCTTCCACCGATGCTTAAAACATCCCCAAACGACAAATTTGCGCCGAAACATCTGCTAATGAACGTCAAGGGTGGGGCTAACGCTGGGCATCTCGTGCGGTTGGTTGAACGCTTTCTGTCGATCGATATCTATACATGCATACTGTGATGCTAATGGGTGCAAAAGTGTAAACGGAGTTTCGTATAGGTGAGAACCAGCAAACGTGGAAGGACGGGGCGGTTGCTAACATAGAGGCAGCTTTCACCTCTTGCCCTCTGGGCTGATTAACCCAAAATGGTTTGTCAAGGCTAATGATCGTTCAAGCTGGCAACGGCGAGGCTGACAAGTACCATAGCATGAACTTCATCGGTTCGGGCGTAGTATTCCACGTGTTAGTCTTCATATAATCCTCCACCCCTAACTCGACTACCACATCGGAATCTTGTTGATGTCTCGCCTGGCTCGCGCCTCTCAACCGAACATGCCAAGAAGACTGACTCTGTCCTCCAGCCCAAGTTTCTTCAGCGAGCTCCGGGAGCTCGAGGAAAAGGGCCTGACCGCGGTGCATGACCGGATCCTTGTTTCTGACAGGGTCAATGTCCTCTTGGACCTGCACATCGCAGTGGATGGTCTCGAGGAAAGGGAACTCGGGGGTTCGTTTCATAGTTTCCGACATTGTCGTTGAGGAACAGCAGCTAACGTCTACCCCAGACGCAGCTATCGGAACGACAAGACGCGGTACGCTACCCCCAGGACTCCATGCCGGATTGTCCTTTTCTGTTTCTGTCACATCATTGCAAGAATTCCCAAATCTCAATAGCGGGGACAATCTCGGTCATCGTCGTGCTAGCGACGCTATTGAAGCAACGAGTTCTAACGTCCGCCATAGGCATTGGTCCCTGCTATCAGACAAGCAGAGCGGTAAGAGATAGTCACGACAAGGGAGCGGACTGCGCGCTAACTTTTCCAGCGAACTGGCATCAAATTGACCGACGTCTTCCACCCCGACCTTTTCGAGCAGAAGGTGAGGCGCTTAGCCGATGGCTATCAAAAGCGCTTCGGAGAACTGTTCGAATACGACATCAAAGCCGAGCTTGCTCGTTTCGACGAGTACAGGGAGACGCTAAAGAAGTACGTCGTGGACGGCGTGTCCTTCATGAGATCCGCACAGCAGAGCGACACGAAAATTGTGATCGAAGGCGCAAACGTAAGGTTCTCATCCTAAGATCAAACGAATAGTACTGACACATTGGTGGAACGAGCACCGTGCCCGTGGTCCCCAGTCCTCTTTCCTAGTCCCGCAAGGATTCTTAGCTCGGGGCGGAACATAGTGCTCGTCTGAGCAATCACTTTGTTGGCGGAATCTTACAAGGGTCTGCGCTGTAACAAACTGTGTACTATGTTCACGCCTCGGCAGGATTCGGGAGTCATACGGAAACCTGGCTTCTACCCATCTACTGGTTGGTTATCGAGCGTGGTCAGTGGAGTTAATGACAATTTCACGTGAGGATGGCGCCCTAGAATCAACTCGGAGCAGGCCCAGTCATGGCGTCTCGAGGTTCAAGCCAAACTGTGCTCAGAAAGCCCCTCTTGAGATGATTCCGGGGCTTCATTTTCACGTTCAACCTCTGCGCCACGTGCGATGCTGGTAGATCGGCATCAGTCCAATTTCCTATGAAGGCAAGGGGTTCTGGGACCTGGCGCTTGTGCTTGTTCCCAATTGAACAGGCACTGATGCTAGATGTTGATTATGGCTCTTACCCAGTAAGTTTCCATCAACCTGGCCCTTCAGTTTGCACTAGTACTCATGATTAACTACAGTTCGTCACTTCCTCAAGTACTACGCTTGCTGGTATTATTGGTGGACTTACACTGAACCCAAAGAATATCACAGAGACGGTTGGAGTGGTCAAGGCTTGTATGTCGATTGCTCCAAGGCTGTAATTCACTGCTGACTGGCAACAGATACCACCCGTGTCGGAGCGGGGGCTTTCAAGACTGAAGATACCGAAGAGTGCGTCCGAATTACCATCTTGAAGCGACTCTGAAGCTGAATCATGACCTCAGGATTGGCACCAAGCTCCAGGAGATTGGACGCGAATGGGTGAGGCTATAAGTGCCCTGGAGGTTTCGAGCTTTTACCGCTGACAAGACTTAGGGAACGTCGACTGGCCGCAGACGCCGGTGTGGATGGTGAGTTTTCATCACGGCTCCTAGTTGCTGACAAACTTGCTGACCGTTCTCAGGCTCGGTGCGCACAACCTCAAAACCTTGAGTAGTAGGGAACACAACTGACAAACACAAACAGACCTTGTTGTTGTCAACTACAGTAACTCGATCAACTACTACACCAGCCTGAATCTCACGAAGGTAGACATTGCCCATGGCATGCTTGTGACTCGCGTCAAAACGCTCTAACACTCTGCAGCTCGACGTTTTGGATACTTTCGAAACGATCAAGATTGCCATAGCTTACAAGATCGACGGAGAGGTCAGTGATGCCAACGAGATCATGATGGATTCTGGAGACGCTAACCGTTTGGACAGGAACTGGACTCTTACCCTGCAGATCTTGACATTTTGAACCGAGCTGAGGTGGTTTACCACGAGATGCCAGGCTGGCAAAAGCCGACCACTAACGCGAGGACCTACTACGATCTCCCCAAGGCGGCCCGCGATTACGTTGAGGTGAGCATATTCACCTGGGCTAGCATAACGAACAGTTGCGCTGACCACCAGCAGTACATCGAAAAGTTTGTCGGAGTCAAGGTAGGTACCTGGTCGCGCATACTAACCTGCACCGCAATTGCTAAAGTTGAGCAGATCAAGTACATCGGCACTGGTCCCGACCGTGAGGCCATGATCCAGCGCTCCTGATTGCGCGAGATAGAGGAGGCGCCCGAGGCTTGACTTGGATCGTGCGCGAGGATTGGCTGCGGAAGCCATTCGGTGACCCGAAGAAGAGTGTGCGCATATAGACTTGGATTTCTTACACGTTGGCCATACCTTAGACTATAACTGATAGCTACTTGGATACCTGTCTCCCTCCGTGAACGTGCCGTGGGTTATGATGCATCCTGTGTGCGAGTATCATTGTTTCATTCTGAGCTAGAATCGATTTATGCCCTCTGGGCCTGGCTGTGCCTGGCTGGAGCGGATTATAAATACGTAGAGAAGCTGAATTTTGATGTATTCGTTTTGCAAACATGGCGTGGCTGCGCAATCTTTTGCATGCAAGTAGGAACAGCCGCCCCCCCAATTCATGGATGTGTTTTGCAGCGGCTTGGATTCGATCATGGAAACATGCTAGTTCAAGTGAAGCACGTAGAATCTAAGCTCATACCTTCTCAATCAATATACATTACGCAGGTCAAACCACATTTCAAAACAAGGCAGGCCAAGGCCCCGTCACTGGAGTTTGCGAAAGCGCAGAGCCATAATGGCCGGAATCTGCGTATAATTCGCCGACGACTCGGGCCGTTCCTTGATCGCGTCCGCCTCGTCAAAGTACAGCTCCTCCAAGCTATCCATGACCAAGCCCGTCTTGAAGAAGGTCCCCAACAAAACATCGAGCGGGCGATGGAAGTAGAGCTACGCATGTCCCGATAAGCCACACTCTTCACTACCGCATTCTTACACCGCGAGAATCCCCGGGCTGCTTACCTGGAACGCCGGCTGGCCGTTGACGGCGACACCTCGCCAGGGAGCCTTGTCGCGATACTCGCGGACGATTTTCCCGCGGGCGTTGCAGTATTCGCCCGTGGCCTCGTCGGTGACGACTTCGACGAAGCGCGTTGCCCCAGAGGTGAAGAACACAGGGTGCAGCAGGGTCGCGAAGAAGCTGCGATTCAACGGCTATTAGCACAGCGTACATCCTGGGAGATTTCACTCAGACGCATGGCGGGATCAAACGCACATGCCGCCCCGTTTCAAGAGCTTGGGCAGCGCGTCCGCGAGCGGCTCGAGGTCAGAAATATCCATGAGCGCCATGTTACACGTCACAATGTCGAATCCCCCCTCCTTTCAAACAAACACATGGTTAGCAGGTAAATTTGCCAGTAGATGGAATTGTTCGGCTGGGTGTTTTCTCACCGCCGACTCTGATTTGACAAGGTCCTCAAAGGCCTCGGGCAGAGTGACATCCAGAACGCGGTACGAGATCCGGTCCGCCTCGTCGGGCGAGCTTCTCCGCGCGGCGTGCTTGATCATTTCTTCACTGCCGTCGGATGCGGTGACGCAGGCGCCCTTGCCTGCGAGCCAGCGCGCCACGAGGCCGTTGCCCGTGGCGAGATCGAGCGCCCTGCCGCCCGGCTGTACGGGAACCAGCCTCTCTAGACTGGGCTTCTGAAGCTCCTGCCAGTATTTATTCCCGTCAAGGCCCATTGTGGTGTCCCACCATTCGGCGTTTTCAATCCAGGAGCCATGGATGCCGCGTTGCTTCTCGGGGTTGGATGCCATCGTGTCAATGGTGTGAGCTGCTGGACTACGACTTACAAGGGTCTTTTCCTACGCAATCGAGTCGCGGGAAACAACGACGCAGTTTTTTTTTGGGAGGATCAATGTAGTTGAGGTATACGCGGGTTCTATTCGTGTTGGGTCCTGTGGTAGGCATCATGGCAATTGACCATCTTGGTTGGCTGGCTGAGGTGTTGGGCAACACTGCCGGTGACTCACTCGGCGTGGAATGCGTCAATGAGACCACATGTGCAGTCACCTTGCGGTTTCGATGCGCCCTGCATGCACGCCACTTTCCCCCCGCGGGGAAGTGTCAACTGGTATTTATCCGCATACCACGAGGGGCATGGGAGCCCAGGACGACATGATGGCCGATTGCTTCATAACCACACGGCACCGGGCCATACGGGATACGCCGGTCCAGGGAATGTGCACATGAGCCATTGACTGGAGATGAACCAGACGTTTGGGGTCCGAGATCATCTCCACTTCGGGGCGATGGCCGGGCTAACGTCTCCACTGACGGCACAATTGAAACGCCGCACCGTCCAAGTCGGCCGGGATCATTTAAAAGGCCAGCCGAGGTTCGCGAGAAAAGCGCCGTGTTCAAATCAAGACCCTTGATGTGAAGTATCCTTCGCGCTGTCGGCGAAGCTTACCAAGCTGATGTCCAGAGCAACTACCAACAAGTGTACCGAAATCAGCGCCCAAGGCTCAGACCTGCAAGTAGAGGCAAGATCTGCCGGGCACAAGGCGAATTTGGGTTGTGTAATTAGCGTCTGGTCAAGTTTAAATTGTTTTGACACTTCTCTCCGAACCTTTTTCAAAACGGATTTTTTCTCTCTAATTAATTACATGGTTGCGATGTGACGGGAAGTATCCAATCACACAGCTATGTTTTGGGGGGTTTGTACTTGACACCATGCAGACTTATTTTAAATTACATGTAGTCCATCAAAACCATCTTAGCAAGCGCGACTGAGCAGGACCAGCATCAATTGCCACTCAAATCTACTGGTCGACCATTTTCGACATTTGCCAAGCTGTCAAAGGTTCCAAAGCGACCTAGTCCAGGAACCCTAGTCCACGCGGCTGGGTTTGATACTTATATCTGGAAGGTCCGGTACATTGCGAGAGTCACTTCAATCACCGCTGCCCATTAATACCCCGAAGGATCAGCACAACTGTATTCCACGTACTGGTTTAAAAGTATAATATTGATATATTTTTACAGTATTGGCCGCCACTCCAAGTACTCATCTGACTAAACAGAGGAACGCCTAAACCTAAAACGAAATGACAGCACGGGGGGTTTTGTCCCAGTATTCCCTATCGCCCACCGTAGGCCAGGACGCTTCCTTGACTGGGGCGGAATATCGTTTGACATAATCCACCTGTGTACTTATAATAGTAATAACTTTTTCTCATCCATTTTTCAGCACGTAAAAAGGTGCAACACAAAGCTTCCAAAGGAAGCTCTTACTCTCCTTATGAACAATCGCTTTATCCAAGTCGCACTGGACGTCCTTCGTGCTCTTAGACCGTGACAATATAGAGCAAATAAGGTTACTCGGTGTATTCGCAGCGATTCGTTTGGGAGTTACAATGGCAATAAGGGACAAACTCGCAATCAAAACATGGAGAGGGCCCGCATTGTTGGCCGCGGCGGAAACAATGACCAGTATTTGAGCTCATAAATGGCGTGGCCAAAGCTAATCCACCAAGTGTGACAAGTATGATTGGAAGTTTCATTATGAGATATGGTGTTGGGAGAAAAGGAGAAAGAGTTTAGAGTTGGGCAAAGCAGGAGAAATAGCCGCGTGTTGAGTTAGGCAATACCTGCTCGGTAATAGTTAAGATCGGGTGCCGTCCCTGCTACTTATATAGCTATTCATGATCTTTTAAACGGGATATAATATTATAGGGCTTATATTAACATAAAAATTGCAAGATAAGAAGAGATTCTTACTTGACCAAAAATACAGAAGAAGTGGATAGATAAGTACACCATTGTGACCGTGAGAGTTGCGTAGTTTTTCGGTCAAAAACTACACAAAAAAGTAAAGTTTGCTTGGCGATAATTCAACCAAAACAGCCACGTCGTAAACCTAAATGTGAGACTTTTGGCGATATTAGTAGAGGGTACCAAGATAAATTCTAAGACAGGAACGGTAAACTACTCGGATAATATGGAGAGACAGATATATACTTCTACTAGTCTATTGAGAGCCGACTAGAAATGGAGGACGTTATTGGACGTTTCTCGATAGAGCTTTTATAAGGAAGCATCGGATGCTACGCTCGGGTAGCACCGGTATTATAGAACTAGGTTTCTGAGACTACTGCGGTGCATAGGTGTTTTTGGCTTTTGCCCAACTTAATTTTTGAAAGCCAAAATGATGGGATTAGGTAGCATCGTCTAAATGCGGCTGGCTCATGTCAGTCAATCAGACCATCTCGGCTTCTCTTATTGGCCTTTACTACTTAGGTATCTGTGACTTCTCAGGCCTGGCCCTCGACTTCTATGTTCAACGTATATCTCTTGGAGAGGGGTGTGCTTGTCCAAGGTCAATAAGTATTGGCACAGCCTTGTGAGATCTTTGAACAAGTAACCCCCACTTTCTAGCCCTTTGCGTTTATGTGTCCGGATACGAAGCTGTTTTAGCACGCCAAAGTTAAGCCTTCTGTTACGACCTAGCTTATAGGCTGCAGTGAAAGTTGTTGAACGTCACAGCGGAACACAGATGAAAAGAGTGCTTTTATTCTGTAAGCTAGAGATGCCGCCCAGGCACGTTATTTATAAAAGGCGCAGGCTGGACCCTGCACGTGATGCTGTTTCATGTTTCAACACAATTGACTGGTTCGAATACATCCAAGGGTAGCGTCTAGAGTGCCTCCGTAAGGCGTGAAAGAATTTCACACTACTACTCCTGTCACACAGCACGATTGTATTGTACAGCTTGGACAAAACGAGAGACTCTTGATTTTCTATCTAAAGGAGCGGAATAATAATTAAATACTTCTGGAAGACTGCTACTTAGGCAGCAGTATTACGATTTCCTTTTGCCAATTGGACAATAATACTTGCGTGTTCTTAACAGAAGCAGTATTATGCTTAAATGAGAGGCCTGATCTTGACACCAATCTTTAACCAGCTAATAAGTCTATTAACTCTAGTCACGGCAGCAAGTCCAACACCTCCCCTGGGAATTAATGAGTTAGCTTCGGTATAGCTTCGTTTGGATTTATTGCGGGTTCGAACCTGTTGTTCAGCGACCTTGGGAGCATAAATATCAGCAACTGTCTTCATTGCAATGACAAATATCTTGTACACAATACGCACCAATCCAGGCGGGCAGTCTGGCTCCTCGGAGAAGCAAACACGCCAACACACACCCTGACGGAGGTTAACAGGTGTAGACATGGCTGCTCCCGCAAGGAGAGTGATGATAGCTACAAAAAAGTTCATAATTTTTAATAAAAAGAGTCAGCGTATTTAATTTATAGTAATGAGACGGAGTTGCTAGGTCCCTTTTTGTGGCCACGAAAACAAGCATGCCATAATACGACTTTGGGGCGACCTTTTTATACTTGAGTAAATCGCCTGTCACGGGCAATGCGGAAGACTTTGGAATGTGTGTAAATTAAATTTATTTCGCCGCAAGTTGCCACGCAGTTATTATACTTTTTAATCCAAAGTATAAAGTTATTATACCAGGATATACTGGCACGAGCAAAGACTCCTGTGACAGTACAAGAGCAGGAGTAAGGTCTTGGGGACTTAAACAAGCGAAGAGTAAAAGGTTCTGGAGGAAGCTCTGACTCAAGCTATCTAGGTTTTACAGTAAGGCTGTTCTCCTATAACCCCTAAGATTAGTACCAACAAGGTCTACAATCAAATAATATCACGGGATAATTTAACGTTTTTAGATAAAACATAATACTGCAAGCATAAATTCCGACTTGCAAGCAACTAGAGGTGCTGCAAGTATTGTGAACTGCGATAATATACAGAAAAACTCAGTAATAAAAAGTTTTTTGGTAGGTAATAAATACCCACTTCTTTTTTTTAGCTTATAATATAAAATTAATACTAGTTATCTGCAAAATTTATAATTATATAAAGTATGTTATTAGATTTAATATTATTTATTATAAAAAAAAACTACAAAAAATTACAAAATTACAAAAACTACACGTGGAAATGCTCTGGCCAAGAGCAAAGCTGCCAAATAAGTTTGTCTTTGGCGGTTTTACCTCTTCCAGAGGGTAATAAAATAATATAATTATAGTTACTTAAAAAGTAAGGTTCTAGTGTAAAATAGGGCTTTACTCGGAATTACCTGGACCTACTGTTATATTGTAAGTATCAGGCTTGATTACTATACAAATCAAGGCCTTTTATCGTTATTTAGGCAGTATCGGGCGGTATCAGGCCCTACTAAAGCCGTAAATTTTACATTTTTAGGGGGTTTACAGCGTGTGACGCGGAACTAATCCTTATAAATATATTTGTACATAGAAGATCTAAGTAAAAGTATAAGCCCCATAATAGTCGCACATTTGCGATAGCCACCAAATATCGCTAATTTTGGCCTCACGAAGGTCATCGTTATACCGGTGCTATTTTTTTACCCTTGTACAGCCAAGGGAACCAACCGCTCGGGAGACCAACCTTGGCACATTCGAAAAGGTTGTCCACGTCCCCAAGAGGAAAGGTCTGTTTCTTGTGGCAATCCGTTGCATTGTTATAACATTCGCTATGTCCGAATTTAAGGCGGGAGCAGGCCTGGTATGAGTCCATGCACTGTAGGAATTTTGTAATTCCATCCATGCGACGCACTCGTCCCTGGCACGTTCTTGCGGCATAATCGCAGATATCTCTGTCATCCCCCCTGTTTCCGTAGCGGTCGCAGTGCTCTTTGACCTGATCCTCGTTCGACTTTTCTGGCTGGCTGGTGGCGGCTGCGGCGGCATTGGTCTTTGTGCTGACTGGCTGACTGGTGGCTGGATATCAAAAGACTGAGTCGATCGATTGTGAACAGATGTTGGGGTTATAATCTTGTCGGGTGGGAGAGCGTAGCCTTTAAATACTTTCGCTGAAGAAATATATATACCCAAAGATACACGTGTATATAGTTGAAACTGTCAAGTAAAATGAGTCGGCGGTCCTATTCCCTGACGCCCAGAGCCTTCGGGGTACTCGCTCATGACACGACAGTGGGCTTTGAGAAAGTGGCTTTGGCTGTATTATTTGATTTATATTAATTTTCCCACTTGGATTTATGCGTACAAGCCTTTTATGAGTCAAGACGCAGGCGTTGGACATACGAGTCGCAATGGAAATATGTCTTTTCGGTGCTTGTGGGATGCATTAACTGTGAGCATTACTTAATTAATTAATACTAGCATTATTTTCGCCTACTCGCATAAACGCCCCAGCTTAATAGAAATAAAATATTTAATGCTTAGTTATCAGGACGCCAAGTCATAGGACGTAAGCCTTGGAATATGCTTAGAGATGAGGGAATCCCCATCGCCACTATATAAGAGAATGAATCAAGCGTGGCGACAGGGCTTCTCAGCTCTCCGAGTATCCCGCGGATATCTCAGGAGAGCCATGATGGCGAGATGATGAGGCATGTTTGCGATGACGAACCTGTTCCCCGGCACGTGAATGATGCTGGCCTGTACGCTCTCATCACAAGTTCTAGGTGAGGCCGACGAATCTGCTGGGAGCATGGAACTGACTTGCGTCTCTTGTGGCGCATGTTGTCCAAGGCCTGGTCGTCAATGCTACCATGATGGATAATACGTGTCCTGACTGATCAGACTTGTGGCCCGTGGGCTCGCAGGTTCTACACTATATCCAGTGAGTCTCCATTTTCCATGTCTGAAACAGATTTCTAAAGCTGGTTCCTGGTCAATAAACTCGAAAACCTTGGCCCTCTTATGCCACCAGTGCATTCGATAGAGATTTGCGGTCTGGGCCAGTATCTCGATCCAACAGTATGGAGCATGACGGACAATGCCACTGGCAGAGCTTCCTCTCTGCTGTCGCGGCGAGATGGCCGAGCGGCTGCGTGCACCCCTTTGGGCCTCGGTAAAGTGACTTGCGATGATCGATGCCGTCGACGCCGACGAGGCGCGCGGTGCCACCATGCCGAGTTGACGGCCGCGGCCGAGGCGCAAGCTGAGCGCAGGCCCGAGGTTCCCGCCGACCCGGTTCTTCCTCCGCGACCGGCAGACTCGGCTCCGTCAGCTCCCAGCCGTGGCTTCTTTGTCTTTACCGCTCCGCTGTAGTCTTGACTCTTGACCACTTGAACTCCCGTGGGGACAGCGACGTGGCTGACGACATGGACGAGGGGTGTTTGCCCAGCCAGACGTTCACTTTCCGCTGCACTAGTGATGAGGACGGGAAAGCAATGGTGCCGGACGTAGGGAGCCTTTCCGAGTTTGTAACTAGACAAAGGGATGCGCGGACGGAGATTGTAGCGAAAGAGTTGGGCATGTAGAGAGTGCTGTAGCGGGCAAGTTGCCAGCAACACGACAGAGAATGTTGAGAGTTCTATGCCAATACTAGATTAGCTCCAAGAGTTACATCTCTTATTTACATGTGGCTGTGAAATATCCGACATGTATTGCGGTTGAATATTGAGGCAGGCACCCGTCATTGCTTGTAGCGAGGTGGGCGGGTTCAGCAAGGATACAAGAAACTGAAGCTGCGGTTCAAACCCAGGCGCATGTTTACACTAGGAATTATATGTCGTCTACCTATGCATGGTCAAGTGTGCGACATAGGTAGCTTTCCATGCTATTTCTCCGTGGTTGTTGAATGACGGACGAATCTGGCGAGAGAAGACGACACTGAGATGACGAGCGATGGCACCCACCTATTGACACAATAAAATAATGGTATTCGCTGCAGCTAATACGTCGGGGCCAAGAGCGGCTGCGGGATCTATACATGGGACGTTTGAGTTTATTTGACATGGATATATCTGCCTATGCCTGGTGTTCGTACAAGACGATGACTATTTTACCCAGAGCTCGCAGCATGGAACACGGAACCCATCTATGACATGGAATGGGCCAACTGTCGGTCGCTGCATATTTTTTTTCCCATTTCCGCTCTGAAACTCCCATGGAACAAGATTCAATTCATTGTTCCCAAAATACGCAGCTGCCGCCCGACAAAACCGACACCATCAGCAGCCAGTCCTACGAACCCGAGTCCCTCCACGTCCGCAACGCCAAGTTCCAATCGCACTCGCGTGTCTCAGGCATCCCATGAGAAATAGATCCCCTGGCCCGCGCATGGCCATGTTTCCCACGGCGGTCAGACCGACTGCGAATCCACGCTCCGCCATGATGAATCCAGCCTTTGTTACCTCGTGAGCGCATCACGCCTCCGGAAAAAACTTCGTATCGCGCCGCATCAACCTCTACGCCGGAAACACAACGACCAACAGCCCAATCCTCGCGTGGTACCGCATGCAGCACGATTCTAGACCAACGTCAATGTTGTACGCTCTCCCGACACACCGGGACCGCCGTCTGGTGCGAAAAGCACCACACGTCCGCGTGCCATCTGGTCAGTCATAGCACCGCCCGCCATTGTGCATGAAACGTCTCGCCTCCTCGGAAACAAATCCTCGCCGCATCAATGCATCGCCCCGCGTCAGCTTTGTTTCTCCGATGGCGATGCGTATGCGTCCACGTCGTCTCCATCTGCCCTGCGGCAACTACCCACAATAGCAAACGGCCGCTCGGGGTTCTCGTATTTGCCTCGTGATGTCGGCCATCCTCATCATGAGCGTCGGTGCAACGACGATGCAGGTGCCACCTACTGTTGCAACGGCACCTCCGACAACAAAAAAAAAAAAATGTGACGGCTCATATGCCGCACGACTTCGTATTCCGTCCGACGTGTTGGCGGCCGGTGTGCATGACAGCAGCGCCTATATAAGAGTCACCTGGCTGGCATCTACCTTCCCCGTATGTACGAACATTGAAGCACAGCAGCACTCAGGCAAGATTTTCCGCAACGCATAGAAGTCCGCTTCTTCTCGTCTTGTACGACGGCCTTCTTTTCACTGCGTCCGTCATGTATTCCCGACTTATTATTGTGGCCGTCGCCGCGCTGGCGTCTACCTCGAGCGCGCTGGCCATTCGCAACAAGCACGTCGGTGACTTTCGTCTCTTCTCGGACGAGGGCTGCTCTGCCGGCAATCTGGGCGTGTGGACTGTCATTGACGATGACGTCAGGGATCATCCCTGCCAGAGGATACCCGACGGCGAGGGTGTTCGTTCCGTCTTTGTGGCTGACGTGAATAGCGAGTGCAGATGTACGTTGACCTCGGGGATTCATCTGCCCTTCAATGTTGTCAAAATGTGAACTAATTGCTTCGGCAGTCTCCCTCTACGAGGATGCGGATTGCCAGGCTGGCGAGCAAAATACCACCCAGGGCAACTGCTACAATAGCGCTGCGGGCTGGAAGGCGTGGAAGATGACCTGCTAGGGGAACCTGCTCTGGGGACATGGACGAGTTAATTTATTTTACTGGTGGTTTTGCGCTCATTCTGGGCTGAAGCATGCGGGTGTCTGACCTGGCTGGTAGGAATGGGGGGCATCCCATGCGGCGTGTATGATAGATCGCTTCATGGCGTACACCTCTGCATCGAGACACTGAATCTTAATCTACTGTTGGCTGAAGCAGCTACCGGCCGCATGTGTTTGTTTTATACCTGCCCTGTAGGGTTCGCTGTAATACGCCATGCGTCCAGCCGGCTTTTCTACCTGATGGCATCTCGGAGCCCGACGAGCCGGGGACTGAGAAGCACTCGCACGCTTGCCCAGACATGGAAGTGAGGGAATGTTGGCCATGGCCTTGCTGTGTACATCGTCCATCAAGCCAGAGTGTAACTGCCGGTACAAGTAGTCAATCATTCAGAATGCATAGTTTTGTCCTCGGGGCGCGAAACACCATCGAGTGCAGTGAATTTGCTCTGCCGCATCTCTCGCTCAGGGCGGTCGCTGTAACTCGAGTCATCTTTGGTTACCAAGAACCTTGTCACTCTCACGACATGTGACGACATTACATCATCCACGGCCTGTTTCTGCAGAGCAGGGGCAGTAATACCTGTATTGTGTCAATTTACACATCTATGTAGTATTCTCCACCAAGCACCTCTGGTCACCTCCCACCGTCCGGCCACAGCTAGACGCCATGCAGGCACACACATAGTTAGGCAATCGTCACGCACACCTTGCCGAAATGCTGCCCGGACCACTGGTACTCGTACGCCTCCTTCAACTGCTCCAGCGCAAAGGACTTCTTGTCCACCACGGGCCTCAGCCGCTCCGGGTTTCCCTCAATGGCGAGGCACATGTCCTCCATCTGCTTGCGGCTCCCCACCAGGATCCCCCTCGTGGTGCACAAGTTGGTCAGGCACTCGAGGAAGCCCGGCTGGTCCTTGGTGTGGCCGCCGACGAAGCCGACAATGGAAATCAGGCCCGACACCTTGACGGCCTTTAAGCTCTGCGCCATCGACTTGGGCCCGGCCACCTCGATGACGTGGTCGACGCCCCTGCCGCCCGTGATCCTCTTCGCCTCGGCCCCCCAGTCCTCGTTCTCGCGGTAGTTCAGGACGTGGTCGGCGCCGAGGTCTTTGAGCACCCGGGCCTTGTCGTTGGACCCCGTGGTGGCAATGACGCGCGCGCCGGCGGCCTTGGCGAACTGCAGGGCAAAGATGCTCACGCCGCCGGTGCCCTGGGTGAGCACCCACTGGCCCGGGGCGACCTGGTTGTCGGCGACGCCGTAGAGCGCGTTCCAGGCCGTGACCCCGGCGCAGGGGAGCGTGGCGGCCTCGACGGCGCTCAGGCCCGCGGGCTGCCGGACGAGCCCCTGCTCGTTGAAGGCGGCGACGGAGCGCAGCACGCCGTGCCGCGTGCCGCCGAGCCCGGTCTCGGCGTTGTCCTGGGTGATGGGGCCGCCGATGTGCTCCTGGTTGAAGAGGGTTACGACCTTGTCGCCCGGCTGGAAGCGCGTCACTTGGCGTCCCACGGCGAGCACCGTGCCCGCGCCGTCGGAGCCGGGGACCACGTTGTCGGCGACGGGGAAGGGGTACGAGCCCTGGGGGATGATGAGGTCGCGGTACTAGGAGGCAACTGTTAGACTGGTTTCACGGCGTTGGGCGGCTGCTGGTTTCGTACGTTGAGGGAGGCGGCGTGCACTGATTGGATTTGGCGGCGGTTAGCGAACGGCGTATCGTGACAAGGGGTTTCAACCGTGACTTGACTGACTCTTGACCAGAACCTCGCTGTCGCCCAGGCGGGGGACTTGCTGCTCCGAAAAGGCTAATGCGTCGAAGCCGGCGGTGCCATCGTGGCTCGTGACGTTCCACTGCGTGACGGTCTTGGGGATATCTGGCGCCATGGCGAGGACTGGTGAGTAGATGGGTTGGAAGATTGTAATGGTATTGCTTTGGTGAATGGGAACTTGAAGCAACAGGCAGATCAAGTTGCGAGTTTGCCTGCTATTAATATGGCCCCATTTCACAGATGCAACTCCACGGAACTCGGTCCGGGCTGCAATTTATAAGCGCCCGTGGCCTCACCAAGTAAGTCCCCGGCATCATCATGTGGCCGTGGCATGACCTGACTGCGCTGCCATGTCGGTCTTTTCTGGTAGATTGTGGTTCAATAGCCGTGGCATACAACTTGCGGTCCACTGTCATATTTTGCCCTCTGCCATTCGTCTCGATGCATGAAGCGATTAGCAAGCATCGGTTGATGATTGATGTAGGGCGTGGTCCTCCGTGTTGCGCCTGGTCCATTGTGGGCATGTCGAAGTGCCGTGGAAATTATTTGACTAATACATGTCGAGTCGTCATGGATTGACTAACCGACCTTGTGGAGAGCCGCGAGCTGTTGACTTGTTGTCTGGCTCGCGTTGATGGCCAATTGACTCGATAAACTACCGTGGCGCAGCGCCAACTAAGTAGTACATGTAGGTACGGATCTGGGGGATCTGTGCCAGGAACCAAGTGGCGCCGTCAAATAAGCACTGAGATTGAGACCGGTCCAGTCTGGTTGATATCGATTAATGCTGCACATTGAGTTGGTGCGGCTGCCGAGATCTGTCTAGTGTGACTAGGGCCCCAATGTGACTAGTCCTTTGCGGCGTGACTCAACATTGAACGCACGTGCGGTCGAAACATGTCTGGTCGTGGAGGAAGCCACGTCCCACCCAGTGCTCGGGGAAGCTTCCATGTCGTGAATTAAATGGTCAAGTATCGCCGACGGGTAAACGTGCGCCCCAGTGCCGTCACTCCATGTCTGCCGACTCACCAGACAGCTTCACCCAACCATCCCGTCGACCATTGAACCCTCACCCATGGCTCCCAACCCCAACCCTCCTGTCATTCTCCAACCACCACCCTCTGCCCCAGACACGTCGACACGTGCAACATCTCCAAACCCGCCATCCACGACCCGCACAGGCATCGTCGTCTTCTCCGGCGGAAGCGCCGCCAATAGTCTCGTCGACGTGTTTGAGCGCGTCCGCGAAGCCAACAAGACCTCGCTGAGCTACGTGATTCCCATTTCAGACAATGGCGGCAGCACAAGTGAGATTATCCGTGTCTTTGGCGGACCAGGTATGACGCCTCCCTCCATGCGAACGCGCAACCGACAAAACAGCACACATCTGACACGGCACGCCCATAGGCATCGGCGATGTGCGCTCACGACTCGTGAGGCTGATCCCGGACAATGACGTCCCCGAAACAGTTGCCATCAAGCACCTGTTCAACCATCGTCTTCCCAAGACGTACGAGGCCGCGCGCGCCGAGTGGTTCGAGTTTCTCGACGCCACCCATGCTCTCTGGACCGACGTGTCGTCGCCCAAGAGAGAGCTGATTCGCGCATACCTCAACACCTTCAACCTGGAAGTCATCAAGCGCATGCGGCCCAGCAGCCGCTTCGACTTCTCCAAGGCCAGCATCGGAAACCTGTTTCTGACGGGCGCGCGCCTCTTCACCGGGAGCTTCGAGGCCGCCATCTACCTGCTGAGCTCGATATGCGCCGTCCCCGACAGGATTTCCGTCCTGCCCGCCCTCAACACCAACTTTGCCCATCACATTGCCGCCGGCCTGCAGGACGGGACCGTCATCACGGGCCAGAACGACATCTCGCACCCCAGCTATCCGACCGCCGCGGTGCCCGGCGCGGGTGCCTCGAGCACGGGTATGCAGACGCCTGCCCTGTCCGTGGGCCACGACACGGAGGAACACGACAAGATTGAAGACGCCAATCTTCCCGGGTCGTTGCCGGCCCTGCGCCGGCCGGCCATTGTCTTCTCCAAGGCCGAGGACGAGGACTTGGCCTCGCGCATCGACAGGATATGGTACATCAACCCCTACGGCCAGGAGATTCGCATCCCCGCCAACCCCCGTGTCCTGGATGCCATCAACACCGCGGGCACAGTCGTCTACTGCATCGGCTCGCTCTTCACGTCGCTGGTCCCCAACTTGGTGCTCAAGGGCGTGGGCGAGGCCATCGCCAACCCCGCCATCAAGAACAAGATTCTCATTCTAAACGGCACGGCAGACCGCGAAACAGGCCCGTCAGACAATCCCCTGACCGCGTTGGACTTTGTCGCCGCCGTTGCAAATGCCTGTGCCGATTCAAGGGGGTGGCAGAAGCCATCCGAGGAGGAATACAATCTCTACGTCACCCACCTCGTCCACCTCGAGAGCCCGGCGTCACCAAGAGTAGACAAGCACAAGTTTGGGCAGCTGGGCATTGACACGGTGCGACTCTACGGACCCAAGGACGAGTCTGGCCGCGGGGGCCGATATGATGCGACGGCGTTGGGCCAGACGCTGGAGACGGTGGTCGGGAGGAAAGACATTCGCGTGGATCGAAGCCGTCGAAACACCCTCGTCGGCTAGTCTAGTCAAACGTTGAAAAAAAAAAAAACGCGCATATCCATTATGAAGAGCCGCCTGAAAAAAGAGTCACATGTATTATATCGTGCATCCCGTCCAAGCACTTCGGAGCCCATTGGTTTCCCCCGATGCACGAAGCGTCCAAGACCACGTCCCGGTCCTCAGCCCGAAATCACAATGTAGGCCATGACGACGGGCCAGGCCGTCGACAGCAACATGGCGGCCAGCACCGACCCCCCGCCCACGCGTATCCTGTCCATGGGTCCCTTCCAGCGGTCGACGAGGGCGCAGGTGGTGAAGATCATGGCGCAGACGTACAAGACGAGCCCCCATATGATGACGACGAGAATGTCACCGAAGGCGTCGGGCGGGCTCAGGACCACCTTGGAGGTGTCGGGGACAAAGGTCGACGAGAGATTATTGCCCATGGTTGCTTCCTCGGGTACACGGTATGTATGTATGGCTGTAAAGGGCACGATTTCTCGGAACGACGGAACGACGGAACTGGGCGCTTGGCCGTGTCGGGGGCGATTAAAATTAAAAAAAAGGAAAGATTGTCCAGCAGATTCTCGCCAGCGAGTAAAACGGGTCCCGAGAGAATGAATGAATGAAATGAACGATGCCCTCCACCGAAATGAATAAGCCTTGCAAGGCGTGAGGAGAAAGAACAATAACAAAAGGCGATATAATTACGCAAGATGGGAAGAAGGAGGGGAAAATGGCATGACCTGATGTTCAGTCTCGTCTTGGCAGCGGCATCCCAGCACAGATATCACATCCCGTCTTCCCATGTTGGCACCACTTGGGCCCCACGATTCACGATTGATGATTGATGGATGCGGCACCGGAAGCGCCACGGAGGACCGGGGGGGCGGCGGCCACTCACAGCCGGCGGCGCAGGGGGGGTGGCTGCGCATGGCGGCACCCCCGCGTCGCAGCCTTCCAGGGAGCTGGTTGTCCCGGCGGCCTGCGCGTCGCACGACGGCTCGTCTCAAACGGCGCCCGCCTTTGGGGGGTTTAAAATAAAACCAGACCACCGGGGACGCTGTGCCGGGAGCTGGGACGAACGGACAGGACATGTTTAGGTGTCAGTTCTTCGGGCAATTTATGACGGCACCTGGGTGCAAGTGGCTTTGCAGACGGGTGGTCGAGTTGGGGCATGGACGGAAAATGCACGCGTCGGCCATCTCATGTCGACTCGCGGACCAGCTCGACGGATTGGCAGTCTGCTCCCCCAGCCGGCACATGTTGCCCGTCCCTCGACAACCAGACGGCACGTGTCAACTGGTACATGCATGTACGTACATGTACGCTGTTCCTCCCGTCTCGCATCGTCGAGCCACTGCCTCATTGGCAAGGCCCAGACGAACGGCTGCCTCGACACTGGTTTGATGCGCGCGACTCCGTTGTTTCACGATGCCCTCGCGCCTTGTTTTTCCCGCCTAGGCCCCGACACGCATGCAGGACGGCTTGGGCAAACTGCGGTACTGGCCTGGCCGTGGACGCTGTCGTGCTTCGTCGCGGGCACCAAGCCATGGGATCGGGGACATGTGGCACGGCGCTGCGAACACGCCGTGTCCATGACTGATGAGCCAGAGGCGAGAGATGGGCGAGGGATTCGGGGCCAACGAAACTCAAGCACCTTGTTCGAGCCGCAGCGCAGCTCGCGATTCGCTCGCCAACCGCCCGGAGGGCAAATCTGCCCAGACGAGGCATCGCAGCGTGGCTACGACCCGGGTCCTGCCCAGCGGCGGATGGTTGTCCTTGGCCATCAAGGGACGTCGTCCGACGAGCAGTGCTGTTCCCCACGCATGGGAATAATTTAATCATCATCATCTCCTGTATTGTTGTGAAATCACGACCCCACCGTACGATACAAGGGACTATTTCAAGCACCGAGTCTCGGCTTATCAAACACAACAGCCAACGCTACGCCATTTACCTGACTGGATTGATTCATCCTGCCACCACATCTGGACCTCCCAGCCCAAGCTCTACCGCCGTCAATCCTTCCTGGCCCTCGGTCAAAGCTCCCCCCGCGTGTCCAGCTGCAGGATCCAGTTCAGCTCGTCGCGCCGCAAGCACTTGTCCAGGGAAAAGCTGGCCGCCAGCTCCTCCAGCTCGTCCTCCGTCTTGCCGGCAAAGGCCTCGGCCAGCTCCCACCCGAGGTACTCGCTCATGAGGCACTCCCTCACCACGCGCTCCACCTGCCTGTCAAAGGTCCACGTCTTGGGGTACTTTTTCCGCCGCAGGTGCTCGGGCACCATGTCCCTGAGCTTGTCAATGAGCGGCCGGTACACCTGCGCGTCGACGAGGGACTTGTCGGCGCAGGCCCAAAAGTCCAGGCCCAGGCGCTGCTTCTTGTCGATGAAGGGCCGCACGAGGCGCATGTGCGCGCTCTCCGGGTCGAGGTACACCATGCCCTGGTAGCCGACGTCCTTGTACAGCCAGATGCTCCACGAGACGCCGCCGCACTCGCGGTACACGGCGAGCTGCTCGCGCAGCAGGGCGAAGCGCTTGGCGTTGGCGGCGGCGGCGGCGTCGGGGTTCGTCCGCGGGTCCTGGTACACGGGGCCGAACTCGCCGTTCCACACGGGCACGCCGGCCTCGCGCATGAAGCGCGCCTTGCGGGCGAAGCTGGCGCGCAGCCGGGCCCTCTGCGCGTCCGTGGCCTCGTACTGCTCCGGCAGGGGGAACCCGAGCGTGCTGTAGTCGTGGACGCTGTACACGGCGTTGGGCAGCGTGCGCGCCGGGTCAAAGGCCGAGAAGTCCATGGCGTACGTGTTGCCGTCGAGGAAGAGCATGTGGTCCGGGTCGACGGCACGGATGGCCGCCTCGACGCGCTCGTACCACGCGATCAGCCGCGTGTGCCGGGGGTCCGCCGGCTCGTTGAGCGGGTTGTAGCCCGCGACGACGGGGTTCCCGGCGTAGTGCGCCGCGATCGCCGTCCACAGCTGCACCGCGCGGTCCTGGAAGTCGCGGAACTCCCAGAACAGCGCGCGGCTGAGGCCCGAGTCGCTGTGCCAGTCCTGGTTCTGGCCGCCGGGGACCGCGTGCAGGTCCAGCACCACGTAGATGTTGTGCCGGCCGCAGATGTCGACGATCCGGTCGAGCAGCCGGAACCCGGAGGCCTTGATGACGCCCGGGTTGTCGTCGTCCATGAAGTGGCGGTAGTTGAAGGGCACGCGGAGGCAGTTGAGCCCCAGCGAGGCCAGCAGCGCGGCGTCGGCCTCGCCGAAGAAGTGGTGCAGCAGGCGCGAGAAGTAGAAGTCGGCCTTTTCCTGCCCGAGCACCTCGGCCAGCGCGGCGCGGTGCTCGTGCTCGTGCCCCGAGTAGCCCGTGATGAAGTTCTCCATGTTGAGCATGCCGCCTAGCCCCGCGCCCTTGAGGACGACCTCGTCCCCGGAGGGGTCGACGATGCGCGTGCCGCTGACGCGGAGCATCGCGCATGGCGGGTTGGTGTGCTTGCTTGTTCCTGGGCCGCCGGATGACGACCTGCCTGGTGAAGGGGGCGGCGCATTTTGCACGGCCGAGGGTGTCATTGTGGTTTTTGCTGGTGCTGGTCGAGGATCATGCGGCGTGGGCTAATATAGGCCGTTTTTATTATTATTTGACGGCATTCATGCCCATCAATACCCTTTTATAGAAGTCGACAACGCCTGATTCATCTGGCTTGTTCAATGCTACGCCGCTCCTGGTCGTGGGTACATGCGTGAATCCGACACTCCGCGCAAGTGGGTACTACTCGGGATGAACGACAACGTTTCGCTCGACAGGGCATGTAGGTCTGTGGCGCCTGGTTTTCAGGTTTAATATGTTGCTAATGTAGGAGGGGCCATCTCGGTAAAATAGAAGCGTGGGCGTAAATGCCAATGTGTACGTTGATCAACGCGATCACGGGAACGAAGCCACGACAGCCACCCAGGGGCCAGGTGATGCTGTGAACCATCTGGTGCGAGAATTGTGGGGGAAGCAAATCAAGGCTTGTGGTGTCGATCTAATTAGATAACCAACAGCTACGCGCCTGGAGTTCTAGCTGTCTGCTCATTTGTTACCCGGCGAATACGGGCCATGGATCGTACAGCCAACAGCCCGCGAGAAAACATATCCCGGCATACTTTTGTTACAGTCTAGTTATAAGACTCGCTATGCTGTAATAACTCCGCCCTCGGGCTTGTTATTACACTCGGTGATTTCATACCGCGTGACAGCATTCATAATAACAAGCGCTGTAATGAAAGGAGGGTTGCTGTCTGGAGCTACACGCTAATACTATATCCCCATGCTATCCACTGTACGTATAATTTCGAGACGAATTGGCTTGTAAGAAGCGATTGAGCTACTTTGCTACAATCGCGAATTCCCCAAGAGGCAATCACCAATGTGAACTTGCTGCAGAAATGCCCCAAGTCTCTAGATCAGAAAACCCTGCCGCCTGTCGTTCATCTGCTCGTATATCGTAGTCCCGGTACATTGACATGCCAGTCCAACACGGCTAGAGCTGCAGTCTGCAACTATCGACAGACATGCGTCCGTCAGTAGACAAAAGCGGCGCGTGAGTTGCACGAGCAACCGCAGTATTAACTGCCCATTCGCCCTTGTTGTCACCATCACCGCGTTGATTTACCCTTGTGTCTGTCCAAAAACCCGTATATATCTCTATATATGTGCCATTTCCAGCACCACTTGACGCGCATGTAAAAATACAAGTACATAATATTTACTACAAATACTCTACTGGTCAGAAAAGACCACGTACAAATCTACTGCTATCAAAAGACCCGAAAACCCCTATATGTACCATACGTAGTTCAGTGTTAATTCGCAGACATCCATTGCTTCGCATCATATCCCACATTCTGCCGACCGCTTGTAATTTGCAAAGACACAACCAGAGTAACAGGGCACGCGACACCCAACCATCGAAGCCCTTTACAAAGCTCTCTCCCTCGCGGCCTGCAGCACGCGCCGCACGCCCGCCGACTGCCGCGACTCACTCTCCCAAAAGGCCAGCATGTCAATCGTCTCGTCGAGGCTCGCCCGCCAGCCATTAGGCAGCGGCAAGATATCCGCGCCCTTGGCGCTGTTGCGCGCCGTGCTCGAAATGTTGCGCAGCATGGCGGCGACCAGGACCAGCGCGCTCCGCGAGCACGACTCGATCATGAGCAGCGTCCCGTGGTGGCGGTGCCGGTAGCCGGACCTGTTGACGGCGAGCCTCAGCGCGTGGTAGTCGAGCGCCCTCTGCGCCAGCCTCTTGATGTTGCCGCCGCCGGCCCAGGGCAGGATCCCCCGCGCCTCCGCCGCGCCGGCCGGGACCGGGACCGGGGCCGGGGCCGGGTCCCGCGTGAGGTGCGCCGACAGGAAGGGCCAGTAAATCATCTCGAAGAGGTTGATGACGTGCCCGCGCAGCACGAACCTGCACACGTCGTCCTGCTCGGCGGGGCTGTCGAACGAGAGGCACGGCGGGAGCGAGGCGATCCATTCCTCGGCCTGCTCCTCGAACTGCGGCACGGCGGCGGCCAGGACCTCGAGGGTGTCCTGCGTCGACGGCGTCTGCTCGCACAGCCGGCGCATCTCGGCGTGCAGGTTCGACGCGAGCCGGCGCAGCGAAATCTCAGCCAGGTAGAAGTACCACGAGACGGTCTGCCGGCTTAGGCAGATGTTGCTGCCGGCGGACTCGAGCTCCTGGGCCGCCGGCTGCAGGTTGGGCGGCGTCGGCAAAAACGGCGGGTAAAAGGCCATTTCCTCCTCGGAGAGGGCAAAGTCGGCGGGCCGGATGTACCCCCTCATCTCGCGCTCCGACTTCCACGAGGACCAGTAGGTGGCCTGCTGGAGCGTCTCGAGGGAGTGGCCGGCGCCGCCGGGCCTCGTGTCGCATACTGCGGGGGGCGGCGACTGGGGAGGCGCCGGCGAGCTGAGGAAGAGGCACAGCTGCTGGCACGAGGCGAGGGCCTGGACGAAGAAGCGCCAGGCCTTGGCGGGCTGGAAGACGCACATCATGTAGACGCCCGACAGGAACAGGCACTGCGTGGCGACGACGTCCTCGGAGCAGAAGACGCTGCCGATGCGGCGCTGGGCGGCGAGGAACAGCGTCTCGGCGCTTGCGTAGGCGCTCGTGCCGGGCATCGTGTCTGGCGTGGGCCCAAACGGCCGCCCGATGAAGCCGAGGGCGCAGATCAGGAGCGTCAGGCACGACTCTGCCGACCAGTCGATGCCGTTTAGGACGAGGGACTGGACCATGTGCCGGGCTGCCTGCTCGTCGAGGATGGGGTTTTTTACGTGTACGTGGTTGAAGAAGTTGTCGAGCAGGCGGTTGACCCGGCACAGGTCAAGCTCGGTCGTGACATCGTTCACTGGAGTCGAGGAAGATGGCGATGATGACAGGGACGAGAGTTGGCGGTGGCTCGGCGCGGCGGGCTCGGGCTCGGCCAGGCCAACCCCTTCCAGGGCCTGGCGAAGGTCCCCAAAGACCTGCCACCTCACGATGTGCTCCGGACGGGGGGGTATGAGTGTGGCCGTCGTCGATTTCGCCGCCACTGGCGGGAGTCTTGTCTGGCCAGCGGCTCCCCCGGCGGTCATGGTCTTCATGGTCCTCTCCAGGTCGTCCAGCCGCTCCAGGATCTTCAGGCTGGCCGGGTCAAATGTGGAAAGATCCACCGGCGACTGGATACATTTTGCGCCAACCTTTAGGCAAAAGGAACACGAAGGCTTCCGGTTGTCGCACTTGGTTCGCCGAGCCCGGCACACTTGGCAGGCCTTCACGGCTCGGCGTCGACTGTAGAAGGCGCTTCCCCGTGGGACCGGCCGGGAGCCGCTGGTGCCGTCGGCAGGTGCCTCGTCGGAATCGCCTTGGCCTGCAGCCGCGATCCTTTCTGGCGTCGGCGTGTCTGCCATGCCGGCGGTCGAGGGCTCACAGGTCGGGAGTTGATGATGGAGGATGAAAACGGCAAGGTGGGTCACGGGACTGCACGCATACGAGTTTATGATGTGTCGAATTTAAGCGGAGTATCGCACTCTTTATTGCCCAGACACTGACAAGGCCAGGAGTTAGAACTCTCCGTCCTGCGCACCCCAGATCTGCCATGGCATGATGTGCCTCGCCACGCGTTATTCAGGCTGAGGTGAGCGAGTTTCACGGTACATGGAACAGGGGGTCGGGCATTATCGAAGTGGCTTGCGTTCCCCACGATTCCAAGAATAGCCGGCCCCATCGACGGCGGAATGTCGCAGATAACACTCAGGAACAGGCCGCCAGGAGCAGGACGCCAGGGGTGCTCGGCCCACGGAGCATTCTAGTCCGAATTTGGATTTAACCGGACGTTCTCTATCGTTGAAGTGACGCCTTGAACGTTCCACCTTCACCTTGGGGATATGGCCGACGACTTCCTTTGCGATGCACGCCGCATCACCGTCGTCGCCGTCAGAAATGGATATAAACTCGCTCCTTCGCCGAATAATGGATTACCCCATGGGGTTGGCCGTCAAGCCCACATTTCCGCCGCGGAGTGTAGATTAAGTTATCAGACGGCTCTATCAGATCCCTTTGCCCGTCATTCAGCCATCGTCGTCTGCAATGGACGCAAAGACAAGCGACGTCCAAGAGGTTGAGATGCCCATGTCGGCCGACGACGATGCCGCCCGCCGCCACGACAAGCGCAGCCAGCGGCTGGAGCAGGAGCTCACCGTGGCAACTATATGCACGAGGCATAAACTCGTCGTCTGGTGGTGTTTCTACTGGGCCATGGCCGCCGTGGGCTGGTACGTGCTTCTGCTCCAACAGCCATCCAATGCTTTCAATGACACCAGTTGACCCCTGACTGTTTGCTAATGTGAATCAATAGGGGGTTTGACGCCCAAATCAACGGTGCCATGATCTCTGTGCCGTCCTTCCGGCGCGACTTTGGGTACGCTGGCATTTCCCCCCCGTGGTCTCTACTCTCGGGAACATATAACTCAATCCGTCTAGATATACCGTCGGCGGAGAGGCCATTCTCCCAGCGGACTGGCAATCGGCATTCAACATCATCAGCACCGTCGGCCAGTTCTTCGGCGGCTTCATATGCAGCTGGCTAGCCGACCGCATCGGCCGCAAGAGCGCGCTGCTCATCGGCGTCGCCGTCTGCAGCGCCGGCTGCGTCGGCGAAATCGTCTCCTCCACCCGCCCGGCCTTTCTCGGATCCAAGCTCGTGCTCGGCGTCGGCCTGGGCTTCTATCTCACCCTGGCGCCCATGATGTGCAGCGAGCTTGCGCCCGTCGCGCTGCGCGGCATCGCCACGGCCGGCGTCAACCTCGGCATCGCCGTCGGCCAGCTCATTTCCAACTCGGTGGTCAAGGCGTTTGGGGAGCGGGACGACCGGTGGGCGTACCGCGGGCCCTTTGCCACGCAGATCTTCTTCGTCGTCTTCCTGCTCGCGCTTCTGCCGCTGTCTCCCGAGAGTCCGTGGCATCTGGTGCGCCGGGACAAGAGGGACGAGGCCATGCGTGTCGTTGCCAGGCTGTACGGGGGAAACGACGCCGTCGGCAGGCTGGAGGAAATCGACCAGACGATCCGGCATGAGAAGCTCCAGGGCGGCTCCGAGTTGGGCTTGGTCGACTGCTTCAGGGGGACAAACAGAGTCCGCACGGGCATCTCCACGGGCGTCTTCTTGTGCCAGCACCTGGTGGGCATCATCTTCGTGCTCGGCTACTCGACCTACTTCTTTCAGCTGGCCGGCCTCGACGTCTCCCGCTCGTTCGATCTGGGGGTCGGCGTCACGGCCTGCGGTGTCCTGGGCAATATTGTCAGCTGGTTCGTCGTGGAGCGATATGGCCGCCGGAAACTTTTTCTGTTTGGCATGGTGGCCCTCTCCGCGCTCCTGCTGCTCATTGGCATCATGGACGTCATTCCGAGCCAGGCTGCCAAGTGGGTGCAGGCCGCCAGCACTGTGATTTACGCCTTTATTTATTTCCTCACCATTGGCGCGGTGGCCTTTACTATTCTCGGCGAGGCGTCCAGTACGGTGCTGCGCGCAAAGACGATTTCTCTTGCGACCGCCACGCAGGCTATATGCGGATTGGCCATGAACTTTGCCGTCCCGTACATGGTGAACCCGGACAAGGGTAATTTAAAGGGAAAGGTTGGGTTTATATTCGGCGCATTGGCCATTATTGGTGCCATTGGAAGCTGGGTGTATGTGCCGGAACTCAAAGGGAAGACGTTTGGTGAGATTGATCAGCTCTTTGCTGAGAGGGTGCCGCCCCGGAAGATGGGCAAGGCTTGAAGTACATGATGCAAGTTTGCCGACAATCGAGCCTATGCCCATCATGAGCTGTTGCATGACCACATGACAGGTCAATACAATCATTTGATTTCTATACCACCAATATCATCACGGACTTTGTTTGCTCAGATACCAACCAGGAAATGGCACGGTAACATTTCATTGTCAACTTTAGTAAGACGACTGGCATCTCATCTCATTTGCATACGTTGTAGAATACAAAATACACTATTAAAAACAGACGTACGATGAACTGCTTTTGACTTCATTGCCTCATCACAGTGTTATGCAAATTCCTGAGCTCCATCATTTCTAGACTCAAAGCCCTAGAACCTGTCATGCCACCAACAGCACCAGCCAGCTTCAGACACTCACGACACTTGATACCTTGCCGTAGCCAGCCTCCATACCTCCCCCGCCGTCATCATGTACTCAAGACACTTGACATACGTTTCCAAATCGGGCGAATCGCCTCCTCTCAAGACGTCCCTGGCCAGCTCCCTATGCCTCCTCTCCCACTCCCGACACATTTGCCACAGCAGCCGTTTCGTGGCCTCCGGGGACAAACAAAGCTCAGCAGCCAAAACCGACACACTGTTAATCAGCGTGCCGCCCTCTTCGTGTCCAGCCTTGGACTCCATCACCTCCCTCTCATACCCGACCAGGTCGTTCATGCCAAGGAAGTGTCTTGCAAAGTTTGCATTCACGTCCCGGACCTCCTCGCGCTCGCCTAGCTTCGGCTCGAGACCCATGCTAAACGGGACGAGGGCAAATAGTATTCTGCGACACTCGTCAGCCAACAGCGGCCGGGTAGAATACATACACGGGAAGACTCACAACGTGCCCACATCGACGGACCGGTACTCGACAAACTGCGAGAACCCCATGTCTTTGCCGCGGCGGGTGCTGGTTTGGACCATCATGGACTTTTCAACGGCGTCCGCTACGTGGCTTGCTCGCTCGGCGTCCAGCTCTCTCATGTCGCGGAAGAGGTTGTACGAGATCCACTCCATGGGGACGGCCCTGTTGGGAAGACGCTGCCCACGACAGAGATGGGCTATGTGTTCTGCCAAGGCTCGCCCCTGGCTGAATGACAAGTCGCCGAATGCATCTACTTGTATTATTAGTTATGAGTGGCGGCAGGGGATTCGTGTGAGGGCCATGGTACCGTCGATTAGGAACTGAATGGTGAGCAGTACGCAAATCAGGTAGATGCGGTCGTTGTTGGCCATTGGGAACGCCAGGCAGGCGACCCGAGCATACTGCCCGGCCACAAATGCCCGGCGGCGCGCCTCATCTGGAAAGGGCCAGTTTGTTAGGAAGAAGTCGTTGACTCGCTCCGTCATTTCCTCTACAAGAGAATGACAAGCTGTTGAGAGTATTGAGGGCGGGCATTGGAAGTCGTTTCCGTCTGTCCGTTTTTCAAACAACTTTGGCTCTGGTTGATGGGAGAGTGGTCCAAACATTATGGAAATGGCTTCCAGACTGGGAATCGTGAGCTGGGTGTGATGTAATATAGCCACGATCATGGGTACTATATTCGGTTCTCAGTTTGCAGACCCACGTCACGAATATATATATACATATATATGTGTGTATTCCCGTCGTTCGCGTCTCCTTGGGCTGGTGGGTACATGCCGCCTGTCAGATACTCTTTTTTTTTTCCCAAGTCCGGAGTACTCCGTACTTTTGTGCATTTCGTTCCGAGACATGCTGTGCAACATGCGCATGGAAGCCATGTGATGATGTTCCAGACCGCCCGACGCGGGTTGCATCAGTCGCCAAGACTGAACCGCGCACCGCCAGCCACCATGCAGTACATAAGCCGGTCTACACCGGCCATGGAGGGTTTCGAAGCAGATTCTTTTTGAAAAGACGAAGCCAGCTGAAAAAAAACGTCCGCGCTCTCTAAACGAAGAGCGCCTCTTTGCTGTTGGGGTGGTCAGAAACAGTCACTAGTACAAAGTATGCCATGAATCGTGGCATCAGCGGTTGCCTTGCTCTCAATGCCCTGGAGGTCTCGGGCTCGGGAAAAAAGAAACAAGGCGCATCTCAGCTTGACCAGAGCCGCGGCTCAAAGACACAGGACATGATATGACTGCCGTATGCTTTTCAGCTCATACGGATAGGAACTTCCATGTTAACGAGCAATGGTCGAGTTTTAGGAGAAGTCAATTCGATCTGTCTGTCAGAGACCAATCATGGGGAACTAACGCACGGGCCATCAGAGACCCACCGGGAGTATCCGGCGAGGCCTTACGGAGCACGGCGTACCTGTCTGGTGCTCTAACTATGCCCTAGTCACGAGGTAGCTACTAGATATAAAAAGGGACATTGAACTCTTAACCCGTGAGGATTAAGAGAGATTAATCCAGCCACTCTATTACACCTAACTTGCTCGTAGTGAGGATTCCTGCCACATCTCCCGAGTCGCTCTGCCATCAACACCCACCTGACATTGTCATGCCAGATACAAGGCAACCACATTTCCTTTTTTCGCCACATTGAATTACGTAAGATGAGGTTAGGGCGCCAAATTACTAGTGTGAATGTCTAAACCATCACACCCGAGACATCAGTGGAACACGGCTGGCGTGTCTCTGTCATCTTGGCCAATCACACCTCGCATTATGAATAACCTCGGTTGGCAAACGAATCTGACATTCGCATGAAGAGCGTTTGCTTCATGACGATTGGTATTTCTCACGGACATCTGTCGCTGTTCTCGACGCAGCACATCAAGTATAAACTCCCAGCCCAGGAATGTGGGGCGCGAGCTTGTCAAGCACCAGATCGATTGGCACATGGCCTTTTTCCGGAACTTCCGCTGCGCACTTTCATACCCTGACATGGCTCAACTGCAACCTCGAGTCCGACACGCAGTATCCCGAAGCCAGCGCCGGTCACAGTGAAAGCGCAACAGGATAGACAGCATCTTGCCCGCAGCCCGCCATCGACCCGCGACCTCGGGACAAGGCCATGACTGCTCGCGCGGCGTCAACAACGATACGCCATACCTCTGCGGCACTGCGACGCCCCCAAAGTTGGTCAATACACCCCATGTGCCGCTTGCTCGGTCATCTGTCTGACGCTGGTGATAGCCTGTCGCGCGGCCGCTCATCAATTGGCCCTAGCCACCTCTCTCAACGCATGCTTCACGCCTCTCGTGGGTGTTTCCTCGTTGCGCAGCAGGCCATTCACATCCACAGCCAAACATCGACAGCCAAACCCGTTTGACATCGGATCCCAGGTCAAAATGGCCCACACGATCAAGTCGCTCATAACGCCTGCTCTTTTCCGCGAAATCCAAGAGTTTTGGTTCCTCAATTCCACCCCCGAGGCATGCGTCATATCGCCGCAGGAGAATGTTCAACGGTGGTTCATGGGTGGCGAAGCCCTCGACAGGGAATGCGTGTACGCTGTCTACACCTTGCCCATAAAAATTTTTTCTCTTTCTTTTTCTAACTGGAAAACCACAGCGAGAAATTCTTGCCAACCCTGGAAGCACTCCGGAAAACCGGCGTCACATCCGGCACCGAGATTCTCGACGCCGTTGAGCCGACGGAACCATGCGACTGGATGAGCCTCCTCATTCTGCTGGACCAAATCCCGCGAAATTGTTACCGCGGGGCCTCGTCCTCTGTCGTCTTTGATGAGTTCGATCCCCTCGCGCGGGATGTTGCGCGCGCAGCCATTGAGCAGGGGCTCCCGGACCGGAATCCAGAGATGCGGTGGCAATTCGCGTTCCGTAGCTGGTTCTACATGCCGCTCATGCACTCGGAAGACTTGATTGACCATGAGCAGGCGCTGGACGGGTTCCGACGCGCCGTGACGGATGTTGAGTCGTTGGCGGGCGGGCACGAGGTGTCACCGGGGAATGAGCACCATGCACGAGCGCTGAGGGTCGTCGGAGGGGATGTTGAAGCGGCACTCAAGATGGCCAAGACGAATTTGGATTTTGAGCAGATGCATTATGACATCATCAAGAAGTTTGGACGGTATCCGCACCGGAACAAGGCGTTGGGCAGGGAGGCGACGGCGGAGGAGAAGGATTATTTGGAAAATGGGGGCCATACGTTTGGTTAGCTTGTACAGGAGTAGGCGCGAGGCGTAAGAAACGAAGCCGTTGAAAACGCGGCCTCAGTCCCGGCCGTGGACAAAATATGCAAGAGTTGGGAACGATGGGGGGAAGTGGTATTGTAGCCGCAAAATCAACATGTACATGAACCAACACGACAAGCGCAAGCCCATCTTGTGTCAGATTACCCCGTACGGAGAATGGGACTACCAGACCCGCGCGCGACATGGTCGATCCTTCAATCGGAGCATCACCGGAGTACGGAGTAGTAAAGGATCATGGAGATTCTAGATGCGCATGGCATGCAGACGTCGGGTTCCACTGCTGGCCCGGCCCCCGCCTCCACCTCCACCTGGCCCATCGGCCCATCTGACCCATCCGATTGACCCCATTCGATCCAGCCCCTCCGCTTCATCCATCCAGATGTCCTCGAAGCTCGAGTTCAGCTCCGTCTCCATACGATTGCATTCAACCACCAACAAACCGCCTCCCATCCCGCCCATCCATCAGCGCACGCCACCTCCATCTCTCCCCAGTTTCGGAACGTCCTCGATTCGAGCATCGTGCTTATTCGGGCTGCATTGGCGCCCCGGCCTCCGTAAACAAACCCACGCTGTCACCTTCTCTCCAACCTCCAACTCGGCCTCGCGCACATCAACAACACAAAACACACCCGCGCTCCGCATGCTCCCCGTCGCCCTGCCATCCAGACCTACACACCAAGCCGTCGCCTCCCCCGTCGCGACACACACCTAAGTCTCACCCGACACCCTTCGCCATGGTCAGCACCCGCTCGTCCTCACGCGCCGACAGCGCCGGCCCCGAGCCCACGTCCACGCCGTCAACACCCACGCCGGCCACGCGCAAGCGCAAGCCGGCCACCTCGGCGCCCTCGACCACGACGCGCCGCCGCGCCCACCGCGCCTCCGCCTTCGAGCACACCCCGACCTTCTGGACCCTTCTCTGGATGGGCGTCTCCCTCCCCCTCGTCATCTGGGACACGGGCTACGTCCTCGGCCGCCCGCACACCATGGAAGGCGGCGCCGCCCACTGGCCCCTCTGGCTGCCGTACAAGCTCTACGGCGAAGTCGACCACATCTACGGGTGGAAGGCGTTCCACGCCAACAACGGCTTCACCGCCGCCCAGGGCCTCCTCAACGTCGTCGAGACCCTCATGTACGCCGTGTACCTGTGGCTGTGGTACTCGCGCGGCGAGGCCACCGCCCACGGGAGGGTGGTGACGGGCAGGCCGGGCGCGCTGGCCGTCCTCATCGGCTTCAGCTCCGCCGTCATGACGCTGAGCAAGACGTTCCTCTACTGTAAGTGGCAATTGGTGAATGCGGACCCGCGGCGCAGACAGACGGCTGGGGTGCTAAATACCGGAGCCAGGGTCCAACGAGTACTTCTCTGGCTTTGACAACATTGGCCACAACAACCCCGTTGATCTCGTCTTCCTCTGGATCATACCCAAGTACGCTCTGCTCTCTTCCCTTGACTTGAACCTACACACCTGGCTAACATGGCCACAGTGGCGCGTGGCTCGTTGGCTCGTCGTACATGGCCTGGTCTATTGGCGCTGAAATCCTCGATGGCTTGGAAGCTGCCTCGCACGTGAAGAAGGAGTGATTCTGCTGTGCCTTGATGTGAATCGGCGCACCGCCAGCTTTACTTGATTCGAACAGCGCGAAGGGCACACTTGCGCAACTATATTCGGCAGCAACGGTGCAGTCACGGGCTTGGGAGGGCGGAGAGGACCGCGAATGGGAACATGAACCAAATAGTAGTACCAAAAAGCGGCCGTCTGTTGACAAGACCGGCCTGCAGAAAAGAGAGGGCACAGCATTGGGTGGGAAAACATGTCTTTATGCGTTACGGAATACCCCGTTTGTTAGGAATTAGAATTGTTTGCTACATGACCCTTGTGCCTGCGTCCAGATCTATAAAAAACATGCTCACAACGACGATGGTCGAGGTTCGTCCTGTAACATAAAAAGCTCAAGTAAATAAAGAAAAAAAGGACCAAGCCATGTCATTGTTAACGCATGTCGTGCCAAATGGGGTGGGTATGTGCATGTATGCGTCTCGCGCTGCTGTATGCCCGCACACTGGGTATCAGATGTTGAACAAGAGCGCTCAGCGTGAGCGAAAGACGAGAACAAAGATGCCTGGAAATGCGTGTGTAAACAAAAAAGAAGAGGGTGGGCAAGACTTGAGAATATTGCCAATGAATGTTGTCCTTTTGTTTCAGCCTGCCGTTCTAGCGGATCAAATCTCCTCTTGGTGGGAATCCTCACCAAACCTCTGTTAGTCCCCCTAAGTCGGCATACTGCTCCCATGCATGCCCCGCGTCTGTGTCCACCCCCTTCCCGTCCAGAAACGCCTGCATGGCCGTCCAGTCGCCCGAGTCTCTGGGCAAGAGGCACGTCTCCTCGGCAATGTCGTCCTCGCGAATGGGCAGCGCAATCGAGCGGCTGTGCGCGATGGAGCTACTGCGCTTCGGGTCGGCGCCGCTCTGGCGACTGTTGGCAAAGATGCTGCGGCGCTCATTGTCGACAAAGTGCCCAAAGGCTTTGGCGGCATGCGTGTAGCCTTCGAAGGCGGAGCTGATGGGCCGCCGCCTGAGCGAGTTGGATTTTGACACTGGTGGGCTGTTGTTGCCGTATGGGACGGCGGCGTCGTGGGTGCTCCATCGCCGGGTTTTGGGTAGTAGTATTTCGATTGGTGAGTCAGGGGGGACTGGAGAGCCGAGCGACGATTCTGCCGTGTCCACCATGCTTGCCGAGCTGGGCACGGTGCTGGCGTTGCTGGAGGCTGTTTCCGACGCCGTGGATGCGCTCCGGCCGACATCAGAGGACGGCAGCGGGGGGCCCGCGCGGGATCCCAGGCGGACGTCGTTTGTTCCATTGCCGTAGCCGTGGACCACGATTTCGTGATACAGAGGCTTGCCTGCCGTGACGGGAGATGGGGGGAGAGAGGGGGGCGCGGCACTTTGCGTCAATCTTCGCACCGACTTGCGAATCGTGGAGCTGCGATTCAATACCTGCTTGAACGAGCTCGCTCGCGACAGGGCGCTTGGATTATCCGTAGCTAGAGGCGGGAGTGACGCTCGCCTCGACCTTGGAGGAGGGGGAGCATCTTGCTTGTGAGTCAATGCGAAATAATCAATGTCTGGCTTGATTTCAAACCTTTCCATGGCAGTGGCCAGGTCCGCGTCGTGCAGCCTCCCAAGGCGGTTCAGTGCCGGCTCAGTCTGGCTGCGAATCAGTCCTCCACGGGTGTTTTTGTCCTGCCACGGGGGCAAGGTGTCCTTGGCAATCGTCACCAGATATCGAGCGCTGGGGTCATCCTGCACGCCATGGGGTCTCTGTGTAGCGTAACGCAGCGTCTGGTGAACGGCATATATCAAGATCCATCGGACCTTGCGTCCGTCGACCAGTGAAACCCTCTCCCTCCTATCCCGCCTTTTGCGCTCTAGTGCGCAGTCCTCTTCGAACTGCCTGTACGCCCGAACGAGGCTGTTGTCGAGCACGTCTTCCTCCCAGTTCGACGCGTTAAGAAGCGCGGCGTGTCCCAGTTGGCGCTCATCTGCGCGATGTTTCGGACCCCGTGGTAGCCACGCCAAGCGTCTCGGGCGAGGCCGCGGATCCAGCTGCGGGAGCTTGGGGAGCGGGTGTTTCATGGGCTCGAGGTGGCTATGCATGTCCAAGGATTGGATGAGCTGCAGGGTGCAGATGCCGCCCACGGCAACGGACGGCATGGCTTCAGACGAGCTGTATGCCTCGTCGACCAAGAGGCGGTACAGAGCTTTGAAATCCCCAGCCATAGCACGGTATACCGCCGCATCAAACGAGCTTGGTGGATAGTAGCCCAGCCTCACGCTGTAGAAAGAAAGCAAAAAGCTCCTGAAACGTTCCAGGTGAGCACGAAGACCGAGCGGGATGCCGAGGTGCGCCTCGGAAAGCTCTTGGTCGAGAAAGTTTTCCAGCATCGCTGACGCCCTGTTGAACCGAGATTTCAACTCATTCTCGCTCTCGTGAATCAGATTGCGAGTGGCCGGGCTGGTGTGCTACAATATCACGTCAGTCAACACTCACATTGCAGGCGTCCCATGACAGCCAGGGAAATATGGAGGGCCAACTTACTTTGAACTCACGCCTGCAGAGGAGCATGTCCCGCATTCCCACACAATGTGCCAGGGCTTGAAGATACAAGTCCTTCATACGAAACGTCTCGGCCAGTTGCAACACGGCCAACGCATGAGCCGGTTGGCCAGCCAAGCAAAGATAGCCCTTTTCGTCGAGATACCCCATAATGTCTGCCGCATTATCCACTTTCCCGCCAGATCGATATTCGTGCATGCAGTTCAGCAGGCCAATCATTGCCTCCCCGAGAGTCTCTCCAACAAGAGGACGCCGGAGAACCCATGCAAAAAAGTTCCTCATCAGCAGCTGGTGGCGTTCAACTTTCTTCTTATCCGCGTTGAGTGGCGCCGGTATGAAAAGCTCAACCGTTCGTTTCGGATTTGAACGGTGCCATTTGTTTATCTCGCCTGGTGTGCGGGGAGTTCTCACCCCGCGCTCGCTAGGGTTGTTGATGACCAAGAATCGCTGTATCAAGGGATAGCATCTTGTCATGAGGAGGAAAGAAAACGGCAATTTGAAAACCGGTGCTTTCGTTGCATCCTTGTCTTTGGTGGCCTCGCTGCCATGGAGATAAACCAGACAATTGCCGTTGCTGATCCAGAGCTCACGATCCTGTTGTAGCACATGGTCAGCAGAGCTCATTTAGTCAACACAGCAAGGCCGAAGGAATAATAATAGTAAAAAATTATAGAAGAAAGGAAGAAGAAAGAACAGAGTAAAGATACAAGGATAACCATACCTTTTGCAATCCATCCCAAGCTGTACAGAGGCACTTTGCTCCATCCCATCTCTTCAGTTTAGGGCACGGTGTGAAAGCCGTCGGGTTCGTGACTTGACCATGAGAGCTATGTCCTACTCGACTGTAGCGACTGGTCAGTTTTGAAGCAGCGGCTGCCGTCGCTCGTGGTGGTGAAGGCATGATACTTCAGGTCTTGAATCGCTTGGTCAAACAATGAATAACGTGTGAGGACTGAATGAATCAAGATGGCAGCTATTCGGAGCAAAATCCGGAACGCAGTCGGGAAACGCTTAATGGGCAAATTGGACCATAGAAGTTCTCCAACGCACCGCCATTGTAAAATGAGCAGCAGTTTGACGGTCCCCCAACGTCTGCTCTGCAATTGACTTATTGCAGAGTCTTTCCAACTCGAACGATTCACGCCAACCTTCACCCACAAGACAAACCGTGGGCAGGGCTGAGGAATACAAGAAAGAAGGAAAAGAAGCTGCGGTCCGAGAACACACAAAATCTTCGTGATGAAACTCGACCCCCCCACGGCGGGACAGCAACTAGACCAGGTTATCAGGGAGACTTGTGTCATATTCCAGCTGGACAAGAACGTGGTCCCAATTAAGCCCACCACTGCTTAGTGCACATGGGTCGCCGGAATTCGACGTCCTGTCGTGAACATGGTCCATCACGATGCCCATGTCCGGCCCATGCACATCTTTAATGTACCGGCCCACAGTATCTTGGCGGCAAATGAGCCACAGATAGGGCGACACTGGTCCTGGTACGGGGTGGAATAGAAGTAGTAGATGTCATGAGTTGGTGGGCAAAATAACGTCGTGCTTCTGCCTCGGTAGCAAAAGCAATTGTAGACTCGCAACTTGATGATGCCAAACAGCTACGGCCTTCTTTGTTTCTGCCCCGTGGGAGAGCCCAAGACACCCATTGCCTCAGCATCAATACCTACACACTCTACTCCGTGCAAAGGTACTCCATCCTCCAAGAGGCTGGTCCACACACAAGGTACGATTGCAGGGGTGAGCTATGATGAACTGTTTGGCGCTAATCAATAACCTGCTCACCAATCTCTACGCCGTAGCATGGTGGCGACTTGTGCGGAATTGATTGGCAACAATGGTAGCGCAATACCGGCATGGACGGACGCAAGACAGACGGTGTGCGTCGTGTATTTCGTCATGGCCGTGTCACCGCAGCCGCTCAGGCTCCAACAGAGTCATTCTCCCAGCTTCAAGGGCCGTGTCCCGTCTTCGGCATAATGAAGAAACTGGTTTATGTGCTGCAAGAGTTTGTCGAGACGGATTTGAGACGTGAGAGGACAGAAGCGGCCTCGGGCCTCTCACCACGAGCTATTTTTAAGGTTCAACGTGAGTGAGACGATTTGTCTCCCAGCCTCGCGCAAACTTGCCGATCAAGCGCACACCAGAAACCACACCGTTGACCCAAAGCCAAACGGGAGGCTGAAAGCAGCCACTCGTGGCGCCAGTCTTCATTTCCCATTACTACACCATGCGTTATTAGCAGTATGCATCCGTAATAGCGCAGAACTCAATAGAAACACCATCGCCTTGTTTCATGATTTCATTTCGGGCCATTTTCTTGCAGAGACATGTATCCTCGTCCAAGAGCTGGGTGGTGATGTCTCTTTCATTACTGTCTCCCAGATGCGAGGCATGACTAGGTTCTTCGTCCGTTCCCGGTCATAGGTAGATTGCCAGGCAAAATCGGGTCTGGTCGCCGAGAGACTACATCAGTTGAGGAGGCACCCTGTTGCAAGACATGCCCTGATTTGACTGGGGTCAGCGCACTCACCATGGAACTGTTGCGCCGTCCGACCAACCAGCCCGACTGGGGCCCTGCATCATCTTCAGTGTATTCATTTTACACTTGCTTGCCAGACTAGATGGCAAAAGCATCTGCCAAGCCAAGCCATGTTTCTCACAGATAGAGCATCATGGCACGACGTGATGTCGATTTCTTGCATGCGTCTGTCGTGTCTGCATGACTTGGCCGCCCGTATCCAGCGCCATCGAGGCAATCCATTCCGGGCGGATTGTTGATTTTTGGAAAATAGGGTCAGTCGGAAGACCTAGCTTCAAAAAGTCTGCTGAAGTTGAGTCAGAAAACGTCATTACGTATCAAGAAACAGTTGGCAGAGATAAAGATTTCAATGTCAAACACTCCGTATCTCAATACTAGACGCTTGATAGAGGCAGACGATACATAATCATGGAAGCACTGTGGCGGGTGGCTAGACTCAGGAACAGAAGGATACTGACTGGCCAGTCACCTGACAAGGGACATGAAGCTTGCCGGAACTCACCTTGATCCGCGGTGCTAGTCGGTGGAGCTACGGGGTAGGTTGTATCTTGCTGTATTAGGTTGTCGCACTCACACCAGTTTGGTTGCGTAACTCCTCTGGACCCAGAATCCCAGAATGAAAACGACCTCTGGTTAACGCCCACAGCGGATGGAGGTGCTCGTTCAGAAATGGCGTATCCAACTCCGTACACATATATTCAATGCCCGTGTTCAGACCAATCGGCCGCCGATCGCGGCAATGCGTTAGCGAGCGAGGATCTCGACGATGACGAGCGAACTTTCGATCCACGAGCTCCGCGATCAAACTACAGTTTGTACCCGCTAGAATATCTGCTGTACTGCGAAGATTGCCAGCAGATACGGTGTCCGAGATGTGTTACAGAGGAGACTGTAACGTACTACTGTCCGAATTGCCTGTTCGAAGTTCCTAGCAGCAACCTGCGAAGCGAGGGCAACAGGTATATAGATTGCGAATGGCGAATTGGGCACTTCATTTAGAAACTAACATTGCATCCAAGGTGCACACGAAGCTGCTATCAATGTCCAATATGTATTGGGCCGCTGCAGGTTAGCGCAATCCAGCCAATGTCGGATGACAACCTGCTTTCTCCCGAGGGCCAGTCAAGCTCAAATGGCGGCCCGTATGCCTTGTTCTGCCAATATTGTAACTGGTCTTCTACCGACGTTGGAATCAAATTCGACCGGCCCAGCGGTATCCACTCGCAACTTGGCAAGTTGAATAATGGCGGTACGCCAAAGATCACCATTAGGGATGTAAAGGAGAGGCGAAAGGAGAATCCAGATGAACCACCGCTGCCGGACGATGAGGTCGACCGCGATTTGCAGTTCGCAAGCTTGAGGACTTTTTATCAGGAGCAGTTGGCAAATTCAAACCCGAATCTTGGCGGTATGACATTGCAAGACAGTATAGGATTTTCCTCACCAGCCGCCTTGTCGAGGATAATGTCACTTTACACCGGCCGTGGTCATCCAGGACGTATGCAGCAGGGTCCAGCAGATATTATGCGCGAGGCACTAAACTCAGAGGAAGGCCTCAAATCGGCTCAATTGGATGAATCAAGCATGATCAAGAAGTTGACCAACGACGGATGGCAAGCCACTACCTCCTCGGAGCAGCGTGCCCACCAGGTCTCGGCGGGACGCTTTCAAGATGAGCTACGACCCATACCGTATCTGCTGCGTACTAAGCGCTCTAAGCGCTGCCCTGCTTGTCGTCACATCATCTCCAAACCTGAGAGCAAAGTCGCGTCTACAAGGTTTAAAATTCGGCTGGTGGCAAAGTCCTACATCCCTACCATCACTCTTCGCCCTATGCATCCCACTGCAGCGCCTGTACCAGTCACATCTCGGCCAGCCGTCAACGACGAGGAACCATTGACACCACTCAAACCGTATCAGTATATTCTGACCTTCAAAAATCCACTCTTTGAAAGCATCAAGGTGACACTAGCAACGTCAAACACCACACCTGGGAGATTTGCTAGCAAAGTCACCGTTTTGTGTCCCGAATTTGAAGTTGACGCTAACACCGACATGTGGGACGACGCTTTGAAAGACGACGGGAGAGACAAGGGTCGCAAAAGAGATGAAGGTGCTGGCCAAGGAGAAACAGCAAAAATATGGGAAAGGGGACGTAATTGGGTGAGCATCATACTCGAAGTCGTCCCAGCATCCCTACGGCCAGAGCATCAAACTCTACTCGGAAAGGATAAGGACGACGTGGACGATAGTCCCCTGAAAGAAGACGAGGACATTCTGGAGATACCAATGTTTATACGGATGGAGTGGGAGGCGGATGCCCAGCATGACATGGTCTCGGCGCATGGAAAGGATAAAGAGGCCAAGGAGAAGAGGGAACTGGCATATTGGTGTGTTCTTGGCGTGGGACGCATCAGTCACGAGTGAGTTGGCACAGCACGAATAGATTCAGATACCCTGTGGGAGAAAAATGGTTTTTATGGGCACGACAACAAGTGGTCGGTGATTGATGAATAAATATCATGAAGCAGCCTGTGTCATTATCAAGCTACCATAATCATTAAGACGCCAAAAGCCCCATTTTTGACCAGCCATCGAATTGTGACAGATGAAAATATACCCAGCATCTCCCGAACCCCGAGATTGTCATGCCAATGCTTAAAGAAAATTCCACTTTTCGGTTTAGGGCTCAGTGCTGGCGACCTGAGGGAACTCGAAGTTCACATTGCGGCCGGTAAGACGGCGGTAAACCTCGGCATAGGTGTCGAGTCTGTAGTCAACACCGACGCGCTCCTTCTCGTCAAGAAGGACCTTGAGCAGCTTGCTGCCGTCCTCCTTGGTGCGGATACGCTTGCCGACAATCTCGACAGGGAAGCACAGATCGGCCAGGATGGCGTCGTGGACGGCGGTCAGGGTGCGGGAACGGGGGCGCTTCTGCTTCTGGGTGTTGCGGGAGCGAGCAGATCGCTTGGGGCGAGGCAAGATGCGGCGCGAGGCGAGGATCAAGACGTGGCGGTCAGAGAACTTCTTCTCGAGCTCACGGGTCAGGCTGCAGCGGGTTAGTACCGGTCCCGAGGCTGGCTGTGAAGGAAGCGAGCAAACTTACCGCTGCTGGACACGGTGGAAGCCCTGCAGGGAAGGGACGGGGACAAAGATGACAACAGCCTTCTTGCCGTGGCCAACTTCGATCTAATCAAGACCCAAAGTCAGCATGCGAGCTCCAGGACATAGCCTTGGACCGCTTCCCGTCCTGTTCCAGAAGTCAATTGTACGCTGGCTCCGGCGAGCATCCCCAAAACGAAGGTTGTAGAGTCTTGCAATAGACTATTTCTAGCCTGATGCACAATTTTTCTTCCAACTCGCCGTCGTAGCCGGGTGATGGCTCCAATCGTCTTTAATACTTAAGAGGACGCTCGTCGTAGCCATTGTATAGTTTCCTTTTGGGAACAGGATCTCGAAAGGCGCCTAGGCCAAGGATCTATTTTTATTTCATTTTCAAGTTCTCACCTCGCGGGCGGAGACGAACTGCAGAGGTCGCAGGGCAACCTTGAGGTCGGCAGTGTTGGTCTCGAGATCGTAGAGAGCCTGAGCGATGTTCTGCTCAAGCTCCGAGGGGTTCTGCCGCGAAGGGCTGTTGGGGGCGATCTTGTTCAGGGCCTGGGCGCTCATCTTGACTGGTGGTGCACAACGATGATGGTGAGTACAGACGAGTGATGAAACGGTCAAGAAGTTTTGCACAATTGGAGTAGTTCGCTAAATTGGGGCTTTCGTGCCCTGACAAAGGTGGGGCTGGGCAATGGATCCTAGCTATGGCGATCACAGGATACTGCACGTGATGGGCACAAGCGCTACGACCTCCTCCCAGGGCAATTCAACGCCCATGCATGGGCGCAGCAAAATCTCACGTGCGACGACGATATTAGATGTTTTGGTATGAATTCTACCTGTTGCCTTTTAAGAATCAATCAGTCTAATCATTCTTCCCTAAAATCCTTAGGGTGGATATGGGGTTCTTATTCCAAGTCACAGGCCCTCAGTTTGCACATGATGGGTGAATTGCCTCCTCAATCTCAAGACTGGCATCGTATCATGCGAGTAACCCGACGGCCTTGGTATTCATGACCTAGGTGTCAATTGGCTCGCTTCAATGTACAATTCAGTCAATGGGAGTTTAAGGATCCAGTATGCAAATTTGGGCCTTGCCTTTAAAATACCTGGCAGCTGTCATGGCAAGCCATGGATTTTGGCAGCTGGCGACGGATGGCATGGCCCTAGTGAACCTCTGCTCCTTCCTTTAAGATACCTAGCGAAACAGCAGCTGTTACTTCTTTGAACTTCCGTGCTCTTTCCAGCTGTAACAATCGTCTCCTGTTCTTTCGTGTCAATAAAGGATCGTACTCCAAACTCATCCTCTCCCCATCTCATATCCTTTCCAACCATTTCCGACCTCTGTCCCTCATTCAGGTCCTTATTCATAGCCCCTTTCCTCAATACTTGAGCCAGGCTTTCACTTCACCCTTGAAGTCCTCGTCACCTTGAACTGCTGCACTGTACGAACCTAAAATGGGTGCTTCGACGCTGCTTCTTGCTTTGGGTGCGGCTGCCACGGTGCTGGCTCAGGGTAACCATGCCATCGACTCCTTTGCATATCAAGGATGCTCTTCTGTTGATATGTCATGCTTTACACCGCCTGTGCTTCTAAGTGCCCAGCCTATTACTCCGGAAATGTGCCAGTGGGCTTGTCTAGGTCATCAATTCGCTGCTTTGTTCCCAGAGTGAGTCTGAAGAATACGACCTGTGAGAATCTATTCATGTCTGACGTTTCTAGGGATTGTCGTTGCGGAGATGACCCCAACGCCATCAAGCCCCTTGATGAGAGAGCTTGCAATACTCCATGCTTGGGAGATCCAAACCATGGCATGTGCGGGAGCATTTGCCCAGCTGAAGGTCCCGCAATTGCCAATGTCTACACGAAGACAGAAGCAGCTAGCCAGCAGCCTCAGATTGAAACCATACATACAACTTCTATCTTCGCTCTGCCAATCACTTTAATCAGTTCTGAGGATTGCACCACATCTGACCAGGGCCCGGTGACTGAACAACCAGCTGGAGGTCTCATCACGCCGGTTGGATCTGCGCCTGGAATACCAACGACCGAACAACCAGCTGGAGGTATCATCACGCCTGTTGGATCAGCGCCTGGAATACCTACAACGTTCACTTTTGTGTTGTCCTCCAGTCCTGCGACCGTTACAACTCCGAGTGAAATGCCTCCTGCCCCAGCTAGGCTCACTACCTCGTGTCCTGATGAACAAAGCTCAGCAACTGAGGAACCAACTGTGGCACCACCCATCACGACGTGTGACGAAGATTCTTCCATTCCTGCTCCCAGCTCTGGCGTACCGGTTCCGTATGGAACAACGACTGTCTCTCTTCCAGTGTATACATCGGGTGCCGCTACGCCGGAGGCCACTACGTCGGAAGCCACTACGTCGGTGGGCACTACATCAGAAGCCACTACATCAGAGGCCACTACGTCAGAGGCAAAGCCCGCGACATTGCCTGTTCCATCTCCCCAGTCGTATTCGGATCCATACAGCTCACAAAAGGAGCAGGATCCTGAGGCCACAGCTGACAGCGTCCCAGGTCCAAGCCAGGACCATCCAGACCGCCCTTCAATAAGCACTCTCTGGTCTCGTCCTTCGGATGTTGCCGACCCAACTGGACAGCCACCGGTTCCAGCCCAGGTACCAGGCTCAGATTCCACCCACAGCATGGTCCCGCCGCTGGCGACCATTGGAGGATTGGCTCTGATTGCGGCAATCATCATGTAAACAAAGTAAGAGAATGTACGTTCCTTTGCCACGGATATATGACATGAAATGAGGCAGCAAGCATCTCGATTAGTTCTTTTTGGGCCAGTTTTGGACGTTGGTTGATAGCTGGAGTGAAAGTTGAAAGCTACGTAGTACCTCTGAGTGGTCGTAAAGTATTTATTCTAGAACCACTGTCTAATGTCTGTTGCGAGTTGTACCTAATGCTAAAATATACCTATCCTGTATCCGCTCTTGTCATGAATGAAAGCTATGTTTGATCTGGAACAAATGTGTCCCGCAATTGTTTGAGGTGCCCGCACCGCCTCTCCAAGTATTGCATCTCAAAGTGCTAAGCACTTTAGATTACTAGCTGAGAGACTAAGGGGATATAAGAAAAGTCTTCAAAACACATTGCTTATAATATATAAATATTCTGGAAATCATGACGGTGAAATGGTGGAAAATCCAAATAAAACATGTTGGCACGCCAAGTTTTCTGTTCAGGGTAAGACGGCTCCGCCACAGCAATGCATCATCGGGTGGTCCTCAGCGTAGCGGGGCAACGGTCGGTCTACCCCCCACCTACGCAATCAGTGAGGGCGTATTCCTCTACTGCAAGCAGACCAGAGCGGGAGTTGTGACTACTGCTACTATCAAGCTTGCGTTGATACGCTGGGAATCAGTTCAAGATGCAATCTGGGATTTCAGGTAGACATGCTCGGACCCAGCCGCGCCGGGAAAGCTGCTGACGTACTGTTTACAGCCTCTCAGGAGCTCCAAGCCGAGTTCAACTCGTTGCTCTCCTCGCCGTCGACCTTTGGCCTGATTGTTGGCATCGAAAAGGAGTCATTGGTACCCCTTACGACTCTTCCATCGCAGGGACCCTCATTCCTTGAAAACCTTGGGAGCTTACAGAGCCATCTGGAACCCAACGTTCCCCTCTACATCCTACTTCGTCGATACGATGACATCCCACGTCTGACAGCAATATCTTACGTTCCAGACACTGCGCACGTACGGCAGAAGATGCTGTTTGCATCTACAAGACTGGCACTTGTCCGGGAGCTGGGCTCCGAGCATTTCAGAGAGACGATATTCGTAACGACTGCAGACGAACTTAGTGAAAGCGGGTTCAAGAAGCACGACGCGCACAGCCAACTTGCAGCTCCGCTGACCGAGGAAGAACGCACCCTGGGCGAGGTCAAGCGTGCCGAGCAGGAGGCGGGATCCGGTACAGGAACGAGGGAAATCCACTTGAGCAAGAGCTTTGCCATGCCCGTAGCGGAGGACGCCGTGGCCGCTTTGAAGGATCTGGGGCAGGACGACGGGCGCGTGGTGGCCATGCTGGTGAGCACAAGGGTGAATGGGAGAATTCGCAGGGAAAGCAGGCTGACAAGACGGCAGAAAATCAACCCCGAGAGCGAATCCGTGGAGCTGCTCCCCGAATCACCTCGGCCAGCGTCCATTGCCGAGCTGGCCAAGGCGATTTCCACGACGGAGCCCCGGTTCACGTTTTACAGATTCAAACACACGCACAATGGCGCGGAGCAGTCGCCAGTCCTCTTCTTCTACACGTGCCCACTGACGGCCGGCAACAAGTCCATCAAGAAACGCATGCTCTACCCGTTGATGAAGCGAGCGGTGCTGGAAATTGCGGGCAAGGAGGCCGGGTTGAGCCTGGAGAAGAAGTTTGAAGTCGAGGAGCCCAGCGAGATCACGGAGCAGTCGGTGATGGAAGATTTGCACCCCAAGACTACGGCCAGGTCGGGGTTCAGCAGGCCCAAGCGGCCGGGTCGGTGATTTACTGGGTGGACAGACGAGGCGGCGCGCGTGCGCTTTTAGACAAGGACGAATACGGCGATGGAAGAAGTAATTATTAAAAAAACGCATCCAATTTGCTATAAGTGACGGGGGATATTTCCCACTCGAGATATCAACTATGAAAATGCAAACATCCATTCCTCCGTACGGCCCCTCCTCTATGCAAAATAAGGCGGCATGAGCCATGACAAACGTGGAAGCAAAAATAATCAATACCAAAACAAAACCACGTTGTGGCACCTTTGCAATATGCATCAGTCATGTTCCTCGGCGCACCTCGACATCTAGCTTTGGGTTGTGGAGGGCTGCCCCTATGTCCGAGAGCTCTATTTTATTTGTGCGCAGGACCATGTCAAGTGTGATTGATGTGTCAGTGTTGGCCCTTTTTTACTCCTCGTAGTTTCCGCCAACAAAAGACATGTTGCTCCTCTCGATGCGCTGTCTCAGGAACTCGTAGACGGTAAAGGTGACGGCCTGGCCGGGGGCGACACGCATGATGCGCGGGGTGATGCCCTTGTAGAAGGCGTGGAAGCCCTCTTGCCTGCGAGGGGGGTGAAGTGGTTAGCACGAGAAGGCGGCTGTCAAAAAAATAATAAAAATAAAATAAAAATAAAAGTAAAAACCCACTTGAACATGTCGGCGGAGATGGCGGCTATCCTAGCCCAGGCGCCCACGCCCGGCTGGGCAGGCGTCTTCTGCAGGCGCGTCTTGATGGTGTCGATGGGCGCGTTGCTCAGGGGCCCCATGGCACCGGAGACGAGGCCGATGAGGGTGGTCTGCCAGCTGGGCAGGTTGGTGCCGGGGTCGGCGTACTGCGGCTGCCACTCCTTGAGCCAGACCTTGAAGTAGCTGTAGGCGGTGAAGTTGACGGCCTGGTTGGTGCCCTGGCGCAGGGCGGTCAGGCTGACGCCGCGGTAGAGCGCGCCGAAGCCTTCCTCGCGGACGACGGTGTACAGGGCGTGCGCGGCGTTGCGGTACTTGGGCACGTCGAGCGGGTCGGCCATGGAGTGGTGCTGCGCCTGGAGCCGGATCTTGATGACCTCCATGGGGGTGACGACGGCGACGGCCTCGGTGACGCCCGCCGCGAGGCCGGCCGCGAAGGTCGCCTGGCCCGAGACCCGGCCCGTCGCCGGGTCCGCGAGCATCTGCTTGTACGCCTCGAACGAGGTGAAGCGGATCGCCATCTTGGGCACGATGCCCGTGAGCACCGCGCCCAGGCCCTTGTACAGGCCGAGCGGCGTCTCCCGGCGCACGATTTCCACCCCGGTCTTGATGAAGCCGCGCTTGGGGGCGCCGGGCTGCCGCGCCCGCCGCGAGAGCTGCATGCGCACCTTGATTGTGTCTGGGGGCCGTCTGCGTGTCAGTCCGCCTGCGCTGCGTGCTTGGTCAACACGGTTTTGGGGGGAAACGTACCTAGCGGATGGCACACGAGGGCTTCCATCATGCCGGCGCCGCCTCCGGCTGTGGAAATCGTTCCTGGTTAGCACTCAATTGCGTCTTTTCTCGGGCGGACAGGCCCACGAACCGATGAGGTTGACTGCCGCCGTTGGCGGTTTGCGATTGTTGTCGCTGGGAGGCATGGCGACACCTGTTTTCTAGTCTGGCTGTTCTTTCTTAAGACCTCGAAATACGGCGCAGACGACGGATTGGATGGCCGGGCTGGATGCTGTTGCGCCTGTCGCAAGGTGTTTTTGCTCGTTGCGTCACTGCCGAACAGGTCGCGGGCTTCACATGCAAAAAGGGCCTATGCCGGCGCTACCCTTGCGCAAAAGACCAAGAGACAGCACAGCCCAATGACTGGACCGACGGCAATGGCAGAGAAGCTGGACGGAATATATGAAAAGGGGAGAGTTAAAAAAAAAAAAAAAAAAAACAACAACGGAACAAGATGCCCTCTGGTGGAAAGCAAAAAGAGTCACACGCGCAAATGTCGGGGCCGTTTGGCTTTTGACATATGATTCTGGGCCTGGGCTGTGGCGGGCGCGATCGGGTGCGCCATGGAGATTTGGGGGAGAAACGTGGAACTAGCTGGGGCGGCCGAGTGCGCTTGGCCAGTCACAAGACCAGCTCGTCCAAGGGGACCCGGCTCTGGGAAGTCGTTGCTTGCCCTGTGGTGAGAGAATGCGTGTGGCTTTTGGTCGTGGGAGCTGTGTATAAGCTCGGTTGTCCCGCGGCTGTGGGATGCGAGTGACGCATCGGGGACGCAGGTCAATAAGACAAGCAGGGCCGCGGGGCCCCCACTTTACTCACTCGGAGTCAGATTGGCCTTGTCCTGGCCGGCGGTTTGGGGAATGCCGGACGGGCGGAGGGCTCGTGGATGTGACGGTCCATGTGGCCGACGGACATGGCTGGTCGTGCAGTTTGCATAGTGGGCGTTATTCTGCCGAGAAAGAGTTTGTGACACCTTTTTGTTCTGGTCGACACTCGCGCATGTTCATGTACAGTATGTCTATGCTGCTCTTCATTCTCGCTGCGTCGTCCTTGTCTGCCCGCCTGGCCAAGAGTTAGTCGGGTCTCTCTTCCCCAGCTAAATGAAAATCCACAGCCAGCCCGAGCCCCACACCCGCAAGCCGAGCTTGTGATATTGCGGGGTGGGTCCCTTTTTTGCTACCTCGACTTGAACCAAAGCCCGTTTTGCCGTTACTTCAACGCTGTCCAATGCCCTGGTATGAAAGGAGACAGCGGGTCATCTTTTCCATGCGGATAATTCAGATGCAGAGGGTAATCATTGAGCATATGTATACAAAGAAAAAAGACAGCGGTGCCAAAATTGCTGCTCTCCAAAGTGGTATCCAAGCGCCGGAAGGGATCGGGTGCCCCGTACCTGGATGGTTCCGGCCATCTAATTGGCCAGGTTGCCGGCTCCGATGGCTTCAATGTTGCCGCCCTTTACCGAGGTACGTTTACCTTGAGCTTCGAGATTGATAAGTTGGGCCATGCGATGGGACATGCAATTTGTCGATATGTAGAGAGAGATACCCTTTTTTTTTATTAAATTACGTAGATTTTACGCGTCTAGCAAACCTCGACAATACCATTGAGGGCGGCTCATTTGAATAGATAGAGTGCTCGTGCACTGCTTCAGTCCCAATCTTGCAGCGCATTTGAGACCTAGGTATTCACATATTGCCCCTTTTTTAGCGTTAAACAAATCAAAAACTCCGTCGGGCGTTTCGTCTTCTAGAACGCTTCCTCGGCCAAGGCACCGGTGACCGAGATACCCTCGGTGATAGACCTTGGCCTGAAGAATGCAAGCTTATTACACCGCATGCAGAATCTGCAACTGCAACCACACTTGTTCCAGTACGTATTATCAACGACGAACCAGACGCCCAGGCAAAGCGCCAAATCAACGAGAGCCAATACATCCACTCGAGAAACGGCACGCCGCAGATCCCACTTTTGCGGTGGCCAAGACTCACATTGGCATAAATATGGTCTCTGTTCTACATGGATTCCAAAATACACCATCTCATCACCAATCAAGGCACCGCCCATGTTGAACACGCATGTATTCCTGGGATTTTTATCTAGTATATCAACCTGCCCATGCGCCGTGCCAAGTACCAATTATCCCCCAAAACGCCATTCTTGACTGCATCTCCTGTTTGAAAAGCCCTACAAGTGCTTCGTACACACCACAGAATGCTGGCATTAGTCGGACATGTCATTATACAAAAGAAGGCATCTGCATCTGCATACAGGTGGTATCTCAAACCAAACACCTAAATACGCCCGCGATATTTATGCAACACAAGCAAACATAATCGAAACGTTGAAATGCGACGCCCCTTATTTTCCTTTTCTCCGAGATCATCGTCTAAATGGATTTTGAGATCGGTATAGTCATTATGATGGCGTTCCTCGTTCTTCCAGAGTCTCACCCTCGAAACTGTACAGACGGACTTCGCCGTCTTCGCTGCCGCTGGCCATGCGGCTGTCGCTGAGACCAACGCAAGTAACTGGCCCTGCATGGCCCGTGAAACTTCGCTCACACTTTCCAGAGCGAGGCTCCCAAATCTTGGTCATGGAGTCGTTGGCACCAGTCACGACACGTAGTGTGTCGCCCACAAGACCCCAGATACCTTCGACATGGCCAAACATACTCCTGATGCATTTGCCTGTGACAATGTCCCAGAGTCGGACGGTATTATCCAGACCACCCGTCAACATGTATCGTGGAGGCAGAGGTCTTGTGGTGTCATGCGTAAAGCCACAGCCGAATGATGCTCTCGAGTCATCTGGCTGCTCTGGGATTGGCGTCGGCGTCGCGCTGCGATTGCTGTGTACAGAGATGGTGTCGGCCTTGTCGTCACTGGGGATTTCATCTGGCTCAAAGTCCTGCGGCATTAGGAGCACCTGCTGTACTTGGCCGACGTGCCCGCGGAACGTCTTGATGCACTGCTTCGAATCCAGGTCCCACAACTTCACAGTCATGTCGTCGGATGCGGAAAATACTGTCCTCGATGGCGAGTCGATTCGGACGTGGTTGACCCAATCTGTATGGCCACGCAGAGAGAAGGTCTCCTTGTTGCCAAAGCTGAAAATCTTGACCGTCTTGTCGATTGATCCAGAGGCTAGCGTGCATCCGTCAAAGTGAACCGACAAGACACCTTCGGTATGGCATTGCAAAGTGCTAAGACACTCCCCCGTCTGCCAATTCCAAATCTTGATGGTTTTGTCGAAGCTCCCACTAATCAGCTTGGAATCGTCAAACTGCAGGCAACGAACAGTAGAGGTATGACCACGTAGCGTCCGAATGACTTCACCAGTCTCAATGTTCCAAATCTTGATAGTAGTATCGTAGGAGCCCGTTGCCAAGATGTTGTGGTCGAATTGAAGACAGGTGACGCCGTTCTCGTGCCCCTTGAACGTTTTGATTGTGCATCGCCCCGTCTTCCAGTTAAACCCGACCTTGTATCGATCACGGTAGACATCCTTCCACGGGCGAAACTTGCGCTCGTTGTCGAGATGAGACCGAGAATTGCTAGGGCCACTCAGTCGTGGTCTCTTGGATGGCCCGTCGTCAGCGCTGGGGTTCGATCGCTTGTTCGATTCGGGAGAGTCGGCACGGTGGCCATTTGTCTCAACAGAGGGCCCCGCGCGCTCTGCCTGATCGTGGCGGTGATGGGCGGTTTGATGTCGGCTCCAGGCCATGAGTTTCTTCTTTTCCAGGAGCGGCAGGCCCCAGCCGCACTTGGTGCATTTCCTATCAATATGTTGCTCGCACATTCTGTGCCACACGACGTCATCATCTGCTAAACTGCGCCATCGTCGACTGACTTGAGCAGCTTTACACAGTGAAACAGTATCAAGATGACTAAGAATCTTGTACGACAGCTCCGTCGGCAAGGCAGCGAGGAAGTCGATCTTGAGTTGTTCCTGAACTTCACGGGAAACGGTGGACAGTTGGGGGAAGCAGCATTGGGTGATGATTCCCTGCAACATCAATTCTCGCTGCTTGGATGGCGCAGCAGAGAAAAGCGACCAGACATGTGTAATGGCTTCTTGGTCGGCGGTGGGGAGGCTGTTGAGTTCCTGTGAAGAGACGAGTTAATTCATGCCTTGTAGTCTTGTCTGGCAATACTGGAGGCAACCTACACTTTGTATAAAGCCCATCTTGGTCTCGTCTGCTGCTCGGCGACACTTTGAATCAGGGCGATGTCGATAACAGAATTTAGTATTGGGATCCTTGATGCGGGTCCAGGTTGCAGGACTTTTTGCGCCAGTCTTGGTGTTGTCTTTTCCAACGGGGGCATAAAGTCCAGGGATGTGTTCCTTGAGAAACGGGCTGACCGTCTTCACCACAAGTTCGGAGGCCATCTTCTTGAGGCGGGTATTATCCTCCTCTTGGGGTCTCCTCCGGTCGCAGTTATCTCGAGAAGGTTGTTGGGCAGGAGGAAGGTCGGGAGAGGGGGAGCTCGGTGATTCTACGAGAGGGTCTGGCGCGATATCGTCCCGAGTATTGGACGAGGAGAGGTGGTTTTGATCATGATTCGGAGTCAATGCCGCAGACGCATGCTGGCGGTGGCCGTTGAGGTGCGCAAATGTTTCCATGGCGGCGAGAGTCTCGGGGGGGATTGCGCACAGAAAAGCCTAAATACTGTCGAGGCCGTGCAAGGCCATGGGTGTTTCACGTCGGTGATGCGTGCCAGGAAGATGATGACGTGCTCCAGGAGAGGTGTACTGTAAGCACAAGGGGCGAGGGTAGTCGAAGGATCGAGAATGGACGAGGGAACAGAGGGCCGGAATGTTGGATTACGGTTCGGCTGCTAAATGATGGCAGCAGAACCACGAGGTTTGCGAGGACTAGCGGTGGCGGCAAGTCCACTTGCACCAGACAGACGTCGGATAGCGGGGGTTCCCCAAGTCACAGAGTGTCAGTCAAAATGGCAGTCGCTGCACCCAAGTGGCTCCTGCCTCGTCTTGCGACCGGCTCTCGGGTCCCACCGACCGCCGAACCCGCTCGAGAGCAAGAGCCAGATGCTAACAGTTGGCGACACGCCACCGACACGAGCTCTTTTCTTTGTTCTTTCTTCCTTTTCCGCAATTTCATATGTCCCGTTTGCTGAGGCATTTTCTCTCATTTATTCTACTGTGACATTTTGTGTGTGCCGGAGCCTCACCGACTGAATGCCCAGAGTCGGACTATGCGCGTACGGAGTACATGCAGACGATTAACCTAGCACCTGGGCCCCAGACAACAAGCCTGCACACCACCAAGCTTCGGACCTGGCAAAACCGACAAGTAACACGCTAGCAATGACGTGCGCCAGCAGCAAATGCGGCTCATCAGGCTCGTTGCCACTTGGAGACAGGAACCACTTGTGATTTCGCCATCACAATTGCGCCATCCAGGGCACACAAGAGATGACCGAGCTAGTCTAAAATAGGACGCAGATGGGGGCAGCTCCGTGCCTAGGCCAATCACTTCCGCATACCAGGCCCAAAACGGCCATGGCGCAAGACTTCACGCGACAAGAACTTTGACAACATTGAATTCTCACGTCCTATTTTAGAGACATCTCTCCCTGAGACTTTGGTTAATGGAGCGATACATACGTATCATATGTGAATGACTCTTATTTGAAGTTTGTTGCACTTGAACGGATTCTTCTGCCTTGGCTTCCGAAGAACCCGAAGGTGAGCTCCAAGTCTCTTCGACTGGGCACCCTGTCAGCTCGGTGATGCGAGGCTCGTTTTCAAGCCGATGTTGTAAGACGTGTTTCGCGGCCAAAATGTCGACGCCGACCAGGCCAGATCCCCTATAATAGGTTCGGTGCTATTGGATGGGATGATACGATTAGCCACCTGGCCAGTCCACGACGCTGGTCTTCGAGCGTGGCGGTGACGGACTGCACTGGTATCTGCCGCAGTGTTCATGTGAAACAACCGAGCTATGGCACAGCGATGGTGCATTTCAGGGGCCAGGATATGATGGCCTCGGAATGCCGTGGACTGTGGCGATAGTGGATGCCCAAAACTTCTTCAGGCATTCTGGTGAGATTTTTAAAAAAAGAAAAAGCACCCTGTCATCAAGGTTCAGCTGCTGAGCTGTCCGGGATTACGACGCCGCGGCTCACCTCAACCAACAGTATGTATGTACCTGCCTGCCAACCATGGAAGTTCTTCGATGGTGAGATCTAGTGACATTCTTGTCTCACATCGAAGCGCTTGACCTGCGCGACATCTGAATCGCCTCGCAAACTTCCAGGGCTAGTCTCCTCGCCGTCCTATAATGGTCTTAGATCTTGTGCTGTTGGGCTTTGACTGAGCCCCCGAGGTCACGCCTATCTCGGAGACTATAGAAATATTCCATTATTCTTGAGCAAGGATATGGGAGATGAGGATTTCCCTCTCTAAACTGCAAAAAGTCTCCGTTGGCTTGCTGAACGTAGCAACCGCCACGACGTAACCACCACGCTAAGGCATGGGCAACAAGTATTCACAAGCTCTCGCCCGATCAAGTCAAAATATCGCTGTAATACCTTCTTCCGCTTGCGTCGGCCACTTTTGGACAATGACGCATTCACGCCCCTTTAATAAGCACAGCGGCAGGTCTTGAGCCAGGAAGAGCGAAACAACTGAGCTCGACTGGGCTATATTCCCCTTGTAAATGGGAATTTCCACAAATGACTTCATGTTTGGCATGAGAGAGCTATACATGGCGGGGTTTTGAGGAAATTTCTCGAAAAATATGCCTGGTACGTCGGCTTATCACATGTACCGTGAATCCTCGATTCAGGGGGGAAAGCGCAGACGCCGTACTAAACCTTCCGCGTCGACATGAAGATTCAAGATGCTGGATTGATTCTTTTATCGTTTCAGGGTAATTCACACACTGGCTGGTCATCGGAAATACATATAACGGCAAGCAGGGACAAGGATATCATACCGCTTTCTGATGGAGCATCAGGGGGATGCTTACACGGAGATTTACGTGTCCACTGTGTTTGCCAAGAAAAGATATCCCTGCCAGAGGCTAGTTCAAGATTGGAATGCCCCTCAACCGCGCTTGAAGGTCTTTCTCGGGGTGGTTGCCGTCTTCTGGCAGTATCAATATCAAGACTGGCTTTAATCTCCGTCTGCCGATTTCTCACGGCGCAAACGCTGGAGCCTTGAAATTGGTCAATATTCGGCAACCAAAAAGTCTACTCTCAACGATTTCGCTTGTTTGGGAACGCTGATTGCGGTCAATCTTGGCAACATCTTTGTGCGTATGCTCCATCAGTCACTCATGGAGGGCTCAGGCTTACGAGCGTCGGGGGGAGGGGTAAAGAAATTGACGGCTTTGACACCAGGGTTGGAATTTGGGGCGTCAAATGCAAAGAAATAAACATGGACTTTTCTTCTTGGCCGGATCTTCGGCGGCAGCAAAATACCCAAGTGGTGCTCGCAGTTTCCGCCCGGCCTAAATGTGATCCGGCAAGTCTCACCTTTGTTTTCTGCAAGTTATGAACGGCAACAAGGCGGAGAGTGAAGAGATTATGAATTTTTGCATTGGCAAAGAGAAATCTGGGGATGCTTGCGATGGCAAACAAAATTTCTACTACGTATATATCGCAAACATTACACACACCCAAACCAACTAATCCAGCCTTTAGAATACTGGTTGGCTTACCTGTTGATGGACACGGCAAGAATCTATTGCGCCGATGTGTGTCTAGTTTTACGCGACGGGGTTCGTCGTCGGTCAACACGAAATCAGAACGATATGAAGTTTCAATCAAGAAAGTGCCAGAAGTGAATATCTGTGGGCGGTCTGACACGCTCCGCGCGTTACTTTGACCAAAGCCGTATTTTAAGACAATTGCAGGGTTCAACTTGTGACCGGGGACCAATCTTACGTCAATGATGCGACTTTGCTGGCTCATAGTTGGTAAGCATACCGAAGATGGCGGATCCATCCTACAACGGCGATTTCAAACTTTCGTCTAGCCAGTTACAAGTTCCGATGGCAGGTAAATAAGATCTCCAGGAGTAACTCGGACGTTTAGCTAAAGCACCAAGCTGCAAAACCTCTTGCTTTTTCACCTCCCGCGGTCGCAAAGCTCGACGTTTCCAGCAAGACCCTGCGTGACCTGCTGTGGTCTTGTACAGCTTCAGAGCCCAGATGACTGCGAAAACTGGGCGAACTCAAGACCATGTGCGCTTCCCCCGTGGTACTCGTCTGTGTCTCTCGGCCCTTGGCAAGTTATGTTCCTGCCACTCGGGTCAGGTCAGGTCGGCGAGCAATGATGGGGTGGTCTACACTCTTGAGCATCGCGGTTCGAGGCCCTTTCGTTCACAGGCACGTCTGTGACGGAGTGAAACATGGGACCCAATGGAAACAAGTCGTGACAGCATTGAATTGATTGTAGGTATGATATCAGTTCAAAATCTAATTAGCCTGAACGATTCTCTTACACTCAAATGGTCATTGGTCACGGTCACGCCTCGCTCAACCGTCCCCTGACATGGCCTAGTAACCCAGATGAAAGGAATTAGCTCCCCAAGATTTTCTATCCATTTCCTAATTTGCAAAAAATGACTCTCATCTTGCGTTGTGGTTGGTGCTTGCCATAGACACCCAGCATTCCTGACGTCGGTGCATTCCAGTGACCAGCCCAGCCAGAGTGCGTGAAGCCGCGGGCGTGACGCCTCTCTTTACGGGGATGGCAAAGCCGTCCAGAGGGGGGAGGCCGTATCTGCGAGGCAAGAGGGCAGAAGAGAAAAAGAGGCCTCGTCACCGGTTCTACTCTTCGACCCCTTGCAGTCCGTCGTTGGCGTTCTGTATTAGTACTATCACCGCACTGGGCACAAGTTTCATCATGAGCTTCAGCAGTATGCCCGGCCGCTCCCTACACCACCAGACGTTCTAAGCAGAACGAGAGATTTCCCACTCGGCGCCGCTCACTGCTTCGAAGTGGCCAAGATAGTCAGATACCCGCCGAGGCCACGATGGACGTCCACGGCCCGCCGATACGGTACCCAACGCCGCGCGCAAGCACCTGCATGTGCGGCACAGACAGCAACGACAACGGCTCCTCGTTCCGGGCATCCGACGACTCGACGCTGGCGGAGAGCATACCCCCCAGCCCCCGGCAGCCTCCTGCGTACGGCGCCGAGCGAGCACCGCCCCTATACCAGGAGGAGGACGACCCGGACGACGTCAAGGCCCGGCGCAAGGCCCGGCGAGCGCTCTGCATCCGCCTCCTGACGTCCATCTTCATCACGGTCCTCGTGTCGCTCATCGTGGCGGCCGTCGTGGCCCGAATCCACGACAGCAACATCAACCCCGGCTGGAGCAGCAGCGAGACCGCGTCCAACAGGTAAGTCGAGCCGGGCCAACGCATCGTGGCAAGAATTGCTGACGGCGCGTGACAGAACCAACGGGACCAGCTTCACCATGATCTCCGGCAGCAGGCCGTCCTCGGCGGTGGCGCTCCCGTCCTCCGCGACCGAGGCGGCGGCCCAAGAGGCCAGAACCGCCACGCACCAGGCCGAGGCGACCACCACGGCCGGTGCCTCTCTTCCAGCGCCGACCTCCACGGCGGGCGAAAGAGTCCAGGGGCAGACGGTGGACTGCGCGTCCATGGGGGTATTTGTGAATGCCACGCCGGTGACGGACATGGCCCCCGTGCCGACGAGGATCGCGGCGCCCGCGAGCCAGCGGCGAAAAGTGCACCTTGTCGTGGACGACGGCGACGGCGACCAGTTGCTCGATGTGGCCGTGTACAGGTTCAACGGGTGTCTGCTGTCGCGGGAGTCGTACAGGAGCTCTCAGGACGGCGGCGTGGCCTACCGCTGCAGCTTGGCTTGTCCGCACAAACGACCTCGGCGGCACGCGAGGCAGGCCCGGGAGGGGGCGGCCGGAGAATGGGGCGCCTGCGGTTAGGGACTTCGATCAGGGGGCTTAATTTGCTGGCCAACTTTTGCAAACGAGGCTTAATAAGGGTTTCTTTCTGTACGTTGCGTGGATTCATGTGGGTCGAGGTTTGGCCGGCGTTTTGGACATCGAGCCGGCGTGTACTGCGACGAGGACCTTGTTGATATTTTAATTGTAAATGTATACACGCCGAGCTGGCCAGGTGATTACACGTATCTTCATGGGTGCGTGGACATACGAAATGGCAACAAAATTGGCGTACTATTTTACAAACAACACTTTTTTCCCGCCCAGCATTGTCCTGCAGTGAGGGGAGTCCATCACGTCCAATGTACATCGTATATACATGCATGTGGCTTTTGGGGAATCATCAATCTCTCGGGCGCGGCATACAAGCCGTGTCGTGGCACGCGGAGTGAACCCCTGACGAGTGCGTTGCCGGCCTGCCCGCGAAGCCGTTGCTACTTATGAACCACCCTTCGCTGCCGGGTTTCATCGAGCACTCTGAGAATCTGCGAAACCTCTGCCGTACCTCTTTGCAGCAGCCGGCCCGCGTCTTCCCCGACCATGTTTTGCAACTCGCCAGCCCAACCTGTGGTGGAAGCAACGGCGGGACCAACGCACCAAGCCTTGCTGGCACGAATCTTCTATCCAAGTGACTTTTTCCGCCCTGCGTGTCCCGTCTCACCAGTGTTCGTGAGTATGCTGCGCGTAGCGGCCGTCCATCGGGCTATTCCTATCCGAGTGCGTGACTTCGACCTGGTTCGACACGACAATGGCATTCGAGGGCCGCGTGCCCCCCACGACATCCATCTTGATGGCCCCCACGATGCGTTCCTCGCTCTCGCTAAACGTCATGTTCGCCGTGATGGGGTTCGCCGTGCGCGGGTGGTTGCGAGGCGTGGACGAGCCGCCGCCGCCGCCTCCAAACGTCACGAGGCCCGTGGGCGACTTGTACGACTTCTTGGACGACCGCAGGGCGCTCCCGAACAGCGGCGCGAGCCAGACCCGGAACAGGGGGAACAGCATGGGCAGGTTGGTCGTGATGACGGCCACAAAGGCCTCCCTCGTGCCCCAGGAGCCGGCGAGCTGGGCGCCGTTGACCGTGTCCTGCAAACAAGAGACGGCGCGGTCAGACAAGGCGGCTGTGTACATCTCTGTAAAATAAGGGGGAAAGGCTTACCACTAGGACAAAGACGCTCTTGAGCGTTGCGCACACGAGGACAAAGATGCCCGCCCCGAGGACGATTGTCGAGGCAATCTTCTTGATCATCTTCAGGCTGGATCCCCAGAGCATGGGGAGCGGGATCAGAATCAGGTATATGTCGGTGCAGACGTTGGCCGCGAAGGAGACCCAGATGATGGGCCGCGAGACAGCCGCCTGGCATGCGTCTAGTTTGCCGTGATTAGTACAAGGTCGTCATCGGGATTGGGGGCCGTGGCGGAATGCGCTTACTCCCAGGGTCCGGGTTGATCTGCCAGTACTTGCTGAATGGTCGGCAGGCGAGGAAGTTGGTGAGGATGCAGGCCACGGTTGTCCCGATGACGAGTATGAATCCGATGATGATGCGAATCTTGTACGGCCGCCCAAGCCCGTCCTATCATCCACACGAGTTAGAAAATCTGCCGGCGCAAAGGTAGACACGTCGATGGACGTAGACAAGAGCCCCTACCGTGAGTCGGATGTAGAAGGCGAGCACGGATAGCTTCAAGAAGCCGATCAGGAGGGAATAGGTTGTCCAGCCGGCCACCTGAATCTTGGAGCCAATCACCCTATCGACATCAGATACGACCATTAGCGTCTCGCTTCTCGCTTCATGCCACAGGAGCCACCGACGACATACCTCGACTGGTACTCGGGATCGCTGGGTGAGAGGGCCACGCGCTCAGCATCAGACATGCCATTGTTGGCCAGGCCGTGAGCAACATTTCCGATACTATAACCGAGCGCCGCCTGCGCAGTGTAGAAGGCCTTGAGCCGGCATCAACAGTCAGTCAGTCAGTCAGTCAGTCAAGTCGACGGCCCTCGCCGTCCGCAGGCCACTTCACTTGTTGGACTCACCACGCCGACCCAGACGAGATAGTCGTCTGCGCGTAGATTCCTGGCCCCCACGGCCCGGATGCGAGCATACGTCCTCAGGAAGGTCGCGAAGACGCCGATGCCGTACAACGTCCACAGCTCAACGGTGAAGCGGTGGAATGCCGCCGCGGCCGCTGCCTGCGCGGCGGGATCAGACGAGTCGCCGGGCGCCATATCCAAATCGACATGTACGCGAGAAGGACCGTCCTGGAGTCATCCGAGACCAAAAGAGAGCAAACCCCGGGACGAGAAGGGCCCCCGGGGGGTTTAAGACCCTGAACGGACTCGATTAGCGCCATCGCCTCCGTCTCTCTGCGATCCCGCGTAGCCCTTTTGCCCAAGCTCTGCTCGAGCCGGACGTGGCACCGAATGCGACGCCGGAAGCAGGGGGGCCCCGGACGCGAGGAGTAATCTCGCCGCCGACTTATTTCGCTACAGCCTTTCCTAGGGTTCCTAGGGAGAGCAAGAGTCGCAGTCGTGGCCCGCCAACCTGGCTCGTTGTAAGCAGGCATGGGGTCAAGGTTTGGTGGCGCTGTCCGCGATCCCCGGCAAAGTGATTTGCATCTCATCTCCACCGGCGGGGGGGCAAGCGAGCAGGTTTCCATGTCCCCCTGGTGGAGACTGTCTGTGCCATTGACGGTTCGTGTCTACAAATCAGTTCCGGGTCTAGAAGAAAGAAGAAGGCAAGCTTGGCCGAGGGGCAAAGGCACAGACAGCAGGACGAGTGCCAGTGCCGCGCGGGAGGCTTCTCGTTTCGGCGCCGCTGCCGACGAGACCGGCGCACAGTCCTTTTGGGCGCTGGACTAGAATAAGAATGTGGGAACTGCATAATGTTGCTCTCGAGAGTAGCATCATGGATGCTGGCATGCTGCGTTGCACCCCCCGCAGATGGCGCCATCGAGAGATGAAGCAGCAACATTGAAGCTGGTCGGTTGACGGTACTTGCATGTGGGCAACAGGGCATGCGCTGCCCTGGGCACCAATGGACTGACACGGTTGGCCAGCGCTTCCAGAGCAGACATGGAAGAGAGATTCAATGTTCTGCAGCGCAACCTGCTGGCGTCGTGAAACGGCACCCAGGAACCATTTACCGTGCAGACGACACGCACGGCAAGACATGTATGTATGTATGTATTCACAAATGCATGGAGTAGCGAGGAGGACGTACATGCAATATCGACTGTGCAAGTTACAACACGTCCCCCCGATTCATGGTGTGGCATTGGTGTCCCTTGGCACCAAACATCCCCAGCACTTGACCAGGGCCGCCTCTCCCACAGTCTTGCAACTCGGCAGCCGACGCGTCGATCCTCGAAACCAGACACGCTGCCTGTCAAAATCGGAACATCGGAGCCACGCCTGGTGTCCACGATTCCCCCAAGAGGACGACGCACGACGCCTTTCCGGTTCGCAGTTCGCAGACGGAAACGCCTCGGTCAACTCCATCTCGAAGCCAGACTTGTTGATGGGACGAAAACGCCGAAAAGCCGGGGACTTTGCGGCTTCTCCCCACGCAGACGCCACGAGTCAAGCGCAAAGGTAATGTTGGCCGTGCGCGGGCAGGGTTGAGGCACCAGACAGAACGAAGTCGACGCTAATGCCGGGGCTGTCGCCGCGAGTCTGGTCTGGTTCCTGCATGTGGCTTCCATGTTACGAGGCGCGGCGCCAGGCCTCCCATCCCCGGGGCCAGTTGTGCGCTGGGGGGAGAGCACATTATGGCAACCCCCGTCTCTGGCGAGGCTACTTGACGGATGTATGTACCAGGCATTAATGCAACGTGGTGGGCGCGGTGGCCTGCGTACTGTACTACTACCAGACAACATACTGCCGGGCTGCTCCATGTCGTGATGGACAAACACAGCAGAGGCCCGCTGGCAACTCGATCGTGACGGGGCCGTGCGAGAAGAATATCCTCCGTCGGCGTTTCGCTGGGCGTTTCGTTCCATGCCGTCGCCTGCGGCCGCCATCTCACAGTCTCGTCCCGAGCGCCCTGTTCCCAGACGAGACTTGCCGCCCGAGCTAGGAGAAATCCTCCGAGTTGCGCGAGTTGCACCATTCACGGCGATGTGACCTCGGTGGGGATACATACGTACGGTCAACACATAGGAGACTCGAATGGCGCTGCCAGTGTGCATCCTCCTGTTTTACCTTATCCCATCCCTGTAGTAGAAGAAACTCAAGGGAAGTTGTTCATGCCCCAAGATACGTATGCTCTCTATATATTATGTAGTATAATTATTTCAACCTCGGGGTGATGCACGTTTCACCCTCGCTATGCTTTATATACCAGGCGGACGATATTTCGCCCCCTCTACTCCGTAACCCGCCCCCTATGTATACCGACGGCTCTCCTCCTCTCTACGCGATTGGCCCGAAGAAGCTAAACTTGCCCAGAGGGTCATACTGCTTCTTGAGCTCCTTGAGCCGCTCCTGGCGCCACTTCGCACTGCCGTACCACACCTTGGGGTTCTCGTTGCCAAAGGCATAGTTGACGTATGCTCGGACGTTGCACAGGCCGCTCTTCTTGTGGAGAATATCGCGGAGCCGGTTTCCCAGGCGGCCGGCCTCCTTGTCGAGATCGGCCCCGTCGGGCTTGTAGGTGATCAGGGGCGCCGCCAGCAGGTGCGCCTCGCGAAAGGCAAACGCGCTCGACTCGCCGTCGACGGCCTGCACGCCCTGCACGGGGTATCCCTCAAACATGAAGAGGGAGCCGTTGAACGCCGACGAGCCCCGCGTCGCGTCGGCAAAGGCCTCGTACGCCTCCTCCTGCGCCTCGACGTTGTACGACTGCAGGTAGATGGGGAACCGGGGGTTGGCCAGCCCGGCCTTCTGGCACGGGGGCGACGAGAGCGCAATGCCCGTCCAGCCGGCGAGGTCCTTGTACGTTCCGCTCATGGGCGTCACGGCCACGGGGCCGAGGTCGTGGAAGGGCTGCGTGTACCTGGCGTCGACTGCCTTGACGCCTTCCTGGATGATGTAGAAGAGGATGATGGGCTGTGCGCGGGCACACGGTTTGGGTCAGCCGCCGCGGAATGGTTCACCGGCGCGTGGAAGACGGGACGGGGGCGACTTACGTTGTTGGGGTCGGCGGCGGCATCGTGCAGCCAGTACGACCAGTTGATGACGTCGGCGGCCTGGGTGCCGTTCTGGAGCAGGTGTTTGTTGGCGGCGTCGTACACGGCCCCGACCTTGTCGCCGGAGAAGACGATGGTTTCAATGGCCCAGTCGCGGTGTTCGATGTCGTAGACCTTTGTGGTCACGGACGTGACGATGCCGAAATTGTGGCCGGCGCCGTTGAGCGCCCACCAGAGATCCGACTCGGGGTCAACGGTTTGCAGCTCCCCGTCGGCCAAGACGACGTCCATGGACACAAACTGGTCGGCGACGAGGCCGTGATGGCCCTGGAGCCAGCCGTGGCCACCACCAAGCGCCGGCCCCATGAGACTGACGCATTCGCAGGTCCCCGTGACTGTGCGGCAGTTGGACACGTTAGTTTTGGCCCCTTTTCCTCGCACCTCTGGTCAACTGGCAGCACCTCAACTTGCCTGTCTGTTTGCCCGCATCCCACAGGGTGTCAGTCACGTGCTTGGACAGCGCGCCGCCTCCAATCGTGGCCGTCTGTCCATCCTCGGCGACCTCAATGGTGTTGAGCTGGTCGAGGTAGATTTCCACGCCCGACTTCATCCTGCCCAGCGTGGTGATGGCCCCGTGGGCGCTATTGTACGCCAGGAACGGCAGCTTCTTCCTGTTTGCATATTTGACCTGACGCCGCGGTTAGCCAAGGGCCCCCTCGTAGTCGGGCGTGCTGCGCGCTCACTTACCGTCTCGGAGACGTCCTTGGCCGTCGCAGCGACGACGACGACATTCACCGTGGGCGGGCTCAGCGTAGACCAGCGCGTCGACGCATCGTCAAACTCGGGCGAGCCGGGAAAGTACACCTTGGCGCCGGGTGACAGACTGCTCTGCAGCGCCTGCGCCTCGTCAATGTCTCTGGGGCAGAGGCCCGGGACGAGATCGCGAACCGCAGGCAGACCGGTGCAGGCAGACGTCAACGCCCAAGCGGCCACCGCAGCGACAACCTCCATCTTGAACTTTGTCATCTTGACAGGATGAAAAAAAAGGGCCGAGACGAGTCGACTCCGATAACGTTTCCTCCCGAGCCGCTAGCACGGCGGGAAAAAGAAATCCAATGCAATGCAACTCGAGCGCGGCGCCGACGCAGTGTCACGTCATGCAGCTTCCAAACCGAGACTGTTGTTGTTTTGCACGCCAAACGCTTTCCTTTACAGAAGCGGAAAGGTCGAGCTTGGAGGGAAAAGGCCAACCGGCAAAACAGGGCCTTGGAGAGATTTATTCACTCGAGCCGAGTAAACTGCCTCATCCGTGCCAAGCGGAGAAAGGGTCCCAATCCAGCCCACAGCGCGTCCGCGGTCGATGGACCTCGATGGTATCATCCCCCCCCGCCTCGCCACTCGCCCACGCATCTACTGATAGCATTCTCATGCGGGCTCAATCTCTCCCGCAGCCCGAGGACGAAGAGCTAAAAACGGGGGGCTTTGCTTCGGGTCCTGCTGCGCAAGCCGTGGGTCGTCAGCGAGCCCAAAGGAGCCAAAAGAGCCGGTTGGGAAACCAACGGGAAAGCTTCACTCGAGTTCCCGGAACGGAGTGCTGGTGCTAGCCAACGGCGCAAATAACCCATCCAAGTCATGCGGACCGGGCTGAATACGCCACGCCGCCCTTCCCATGGCAATCCAGCGAGCGGACCGACCCCGAGGAACAGCCACAAGCCCCATTTCCCCCAGGACGGCTGAGACGGGGAGCTTGCATCATCGTCATTACCGGATTGTGCCTGGGGCCTTCAATTGAACCGTCGCATCGCACCCATGCCGACGCCACACCTACTTCGTAACAGGACTGCCGCGTGGGTATCTTCTGGAAGCCAATGACCAGATTTGGATACCACACTGTCCAGGTGTGCACGGTCGGCGAGTTGCGACAGCGTAAAGCTGCACATGTGCTTTTGTAGAATGGAAGCGGAGTCTGCCGGGGCTGATTGGCGCTGTAAACAGGATGGTGTAGAAGTCGGCTTCCCAAACGGATACTGATGCCTGAATCGCCAAGGTTTTACTAGAATCTACAGCAGTGCCACCAGGACTAAATGACCAAACATTGAATGTCTGGTTCCGTTGTTGGCGAGTGAGTGAGCAACATGTGCTAGACTCAACCCGCGGCGTCCCATCGAAAGCCACATGAAGAGCACAAGTGGCAAGGAGACAAATGACTTGAATAACTGCGAGGAGCACTCGATACATCGATTCTTACAGGGGACACGGCTGGGTGAGACATGCCAGCGCCTCACTTTTACCGATTTGACGGTGCTGTGCTACGGAGTAAATTTGTCCCATCATCTCGGCGATTACATCAGGTGATTCGTGGCATATGCATGACAGCCGAAGTGCGCGCGGATCTTGTCTCAGTGACTAGGCCCTGCAAGAGGTAAAATTCCTGTACCTTGACGTGTTCTGGAACCCAGTTCCAGCGAGTTCTGCAGGTTTGCAATCTATATCCCTTTGACTGCTGTAAGATCCAGCTTTTACAGCCTGCAGGGATTCTAACCAATTGAAAAAATTAAAATAAAAGGTACAAAGACCTACTAAAAAATAATATAAGAATATAAGTAACGTTACTAGTAATCTCTAACGTTATAAAAGGCTACATTACACCCACGTAATTTTAACGCACTACAAAGGTACCTACTAGGTCTCGCAGAAAGGTGGGTCCGTTCCAAAAGTTGGACCTACTGCAGTCAAAGGGATGTGATGCGCAACTGGCAATCGCGGCTTTCGGAAAGTAGCCGGCCTGCGCATAGATGTAGATTGAGATGACGCCGCCGCAAAATGGCCCAAGCTTGACATTGATGTCAAGAAATAACGTTGCGAGCCTGTCAATGTTGGGTAGTGTGCCATGGCCACCTTTGTAATTCGTCGCTGAAATACAGAGTACCGGGGAGACGAGTGACAATTCACCCTTGATGATGGTCGTATTGTTGCAGCATTTGCATGTCTTGTGCACAGCTTTGAAGGGTCGTTCCTAGTTAAAGTAGGATTCGTGTTTTAGTTTGTCTCCTTACGACTATAGTGTCTATGGCTATGATGGCGGGACACATAGCTTTGACGTCTCTAATTTTGCGTCTTGTTTTTCACTTCATTGCAACCAAGGGATTCTTACGTTTCGTCATTAAATCAAGGAAATCATACAAAAACTCAGTGAACAAGGAGCACACAAATTAAAGGAGCCTAGTGAGATCGTTCCATGTCGGTGTTGATGTAAACCATACAAGTTTGCGTCGTCCCGATGTCATAAAGTCACCATGTAGGGTAGGCAAAAAGCTACCAACAGCCGGCCTGGGTGGCTGGTCTTATCGCCCCACCGATAAGCTGCCGAATTGAAATTTCTCTGCCTCCATGTCACCAATTGACCAACACGTACAAGTACACCTCGTCACTCTGGACAAGGCAAGCTCGCACCCGACACGAAAGCAACAAGCTTGCCAATCTCGATGCAGCTATGGCGGCCGGCGACGAACATTCTGCTGAGACCAGCGGCCCTGCCGTGGAGCGCAATGCCTCTGCGGCCAATGCCACGCCTGGCAACACCACCGCCACGGAATCTGGCGATGCCACCCCGTGTCAAAAGCCTGGCGACAACCACGAAGGAAAGAAGCGAGGAGAAAAGGGGCGAGCAGAACGGAGGTGAGCCGCCGCACATTTCGGCCCTTGCTGAACATGCAGAAAATTCGCAAACATGACCTGACGCTGACCAGCCTGTAGCCGCCAGCTAAAGAACGACAAGAAGCGCAAGAAGCAGGACGACTGGCGCGAATTCAAGCGCCGCAAGCTGAGCGACAAAGCAGGCGAATCAGGCAACTCGGAAAAAAAGAATCCCTTCTCACAGGAGGAAATCGCCTCGGAAGAGCGGCGGCCGAAGCGCAAGGTCGCCGTCATGATTGGGTATTCCGGCACAGGATACAAGGGCATGCAAGTGAATGGCGACGAGCCGACGATTGAAAGAGATCTCTTCAGAGCCTTCATTGACGCCAAGGCCATCTCAAAGGCGAATGCCGATGACCCCCGCAAATCGAGTCTGGCACGGTGCGCCCGAACGGACAAGGGGGTGCATGCCGCGGGCAACGTCATTAGCCTGAAGCTCATCATCGAGGACGACGACATTGTGGACAAGATCAACGCGCACCTACCGGAGCAGATTCGCATCTGGGGGATCCAGAGGACCAACAACAGCTTCAACTGCTACCAGTACTGCGACTCGCGCTTCTACGAGTACTTGCTGCCCAGTTACTGCCTGCTGCCGCCCCATCCGCAGACGTACCTGGCCAAGGAGTGCGAGAAGCTCAACAAGGAGTACGGCGCCGAGGACGAAGTGGCCGCCGTGATGGCGGACGTCCAGGACTTTTGGGCGCACGTCGAAGAGAAGGAGATCAAGCCCATCCTCGCCCGTCTGGACCCGGAGCTGAGAGCCGTGGTCATGGAGCGGGTGCACGCCCAGGAGGCGGAGGAGTATGAGAACAACAAAAAGGCCGAGGCCGAGGCCGAGCAGGACCACGCCCCCGATGCCGGGGCGGCAGACAAGCCAGATGAGGCCGGCGACGCGGCGACGCGGCCAGAAGAACCCAAAAGAGTCAGCCTCGAGTCTCACAAGCCCAAACACCGCGAGCTCGCCCCCATCGACTTTGCCCTCCGCGACATCAAGGCCGCGTACATTGCCGCCAAGCGGCGGTACCGCGTCTCCCCCGAGCGCCTGCAGCGCCTGCAGCGCGTGCTCGACAAGTACACGGGCACCTACAACTTCCACAACTTCACCATCCAAAAGACCTTTTCCGACCCCTCGGCGCGCCGCCACATCAAGTCGTTCACCGTGGACCCCAAGCCCGTCATCATCGGCGGCACGGAGTGGCTCTCGCTCAAGGTCCACGGGCAGAGCTTCATGATGCACCAGATCCGCAAGATGGTCGGCCTGGCGTCCCTCATGGTGCGCTGCGGCACCGCCCTCGACCGCGTCGCCGACTCGTACCAGGAGCAGAAGATGGCCATCCCCAAAGCCCCCGGCCTCGGGCTCCTCCTGGAGCGGCCCGTGTTCGAGAACTACAACCGGAGGGCCAGGGACACCCTCGGCAAGGAGACGATTGATTTCGGCAAATACGAGGAGCGCCTCGAGGCGTTTAAGCAGAAGCACATTTACAGTCGGATATTCGAGGTGGAAGAAAAGGAGAATACGTAAGTGGCGATTTTTGAAATGCTGAAAAAAAAGGGGGGGCGCTGCTAACGAGATGATGGCAAGGTTCCACGGCTTCTACAACCAGATTGACCAGTTCAAGGCGAACCACTTCCTGTGGCTGTCTGCCGGCGGGACAAAGGTCGCCGAGCTGAACAAGGAGAGCGACAAGACGGAGGTGGACAAGGCGCTGGGCGACGAGGACGAGAACCCAGAGGGCGGCGAGGGCTAGAGCCGCTGGTGACGATGGGCCCGGTAGACCATGTAGGGGAACAGGATACGAATAGACGAGGTGAAGAAATGAAAAGAAAGCCTTTTAGATTAATCAACGCCCCCTAGTCCTAAGGGTATTTACGCCCCAACGCCCATTATGCGGATATCTTGCCCACCGTGCTAAAAAACATAAAAAAAAAAAAAAACTCTCAAAAAATCCCCAAACTCACTTGGCCGTCGTAGCGTCCTCCTTGGCCAACACCTCCCACGTACCGCCACACCTTTGCGCCAGGTCTCTCATCCGCCGGCCGTCAAGACCATTCAGCAGGGCCGAGACGAGCGCGACGTCGTCCTCAATCTGGGCGTCCTTGGCCTTGCGGTCGGGATCGCCCTGGCCCAGCGGCCCAAACACCCACAGCTCCTTGATCTTGCGCGACAGCGACAACAGGTCTTTGATGGACGAGTTCTAGCAACCCGTGAGCGGTGCTTGATGCGGGGAGAAAGGGAGGGATCTACGCACCAGCCCGTCAAACTCCATCTTCATGGAGATGCCACTGACGGCCATGGTCTCGGGCGTGGCGTTGCTCCGCTCGCCCTCTGCCTGGACGGTGGCCAGCATCATGAGGGTGCGGTAGCGCGTGAGGATGTCGGCGACGAGGCGGTTGTGGTTGTCTTGCGCGGCGTTAGTATCCGATGATGACGGACGACGATGGGGACGGGGGGCCGGTGCCTGGTTTGAGGCGGACGGGCGTACGAACCCATGAGGTTGGACGACGAGGCCTGCGAGCGATCCATTGTGCTGGGCGGTTGTGGGATGCTGCTCAGGACGCTATTGACGCTGGGGTGTGTTGTGTCGCGAGTCTGATGAGTCGCGATGAGCGCATGGATGGAAAAGTGGTGCGGGAGAGGGTGGGGGCAGAAGCCGACCTCGTCAACTTGGCGCATCTTCGTGGCACACGAGTTGTTCGACATCACATACATCTAGCAGTTTTTCTTATGGCTCGTCTCGGGCAAATGTGACGCCTTCCATTGCGTCGCCGACAGTGGTCGTTCTGACTATTTATGCGGCTGGTGTCTTGATGCCACCCATCTCTGGCGACTTACCAGGGAGAAGCAACATTGAAGACGCCTGGCTTGCCACGGCTACCAAGCTTGGGATATTCATCCCCTTTCGACGCCTGTCGACCGCCGCGGCTATCCCATGGATCCATTGGCAAATGAACAGCAGTCTGACCTTGGAGCTGAATGGTGGTTACCGCGGCCATGGATTTAGCCGTCCCACCATAATCTTGCCTCAATTGGTTCGATCGTCATGAAACCGGCAGTATCTGCAGTCAGCAACCAACTTGGACAGGGTTGTACAAGTGCGCCTTCGACTGTCTGTTGCTGGAGACTGATAACCCCGACCTGAATTATTATTCTGGACGGCTGCCGCGTCGTGTTTTGCTTCATCTGTAGACCCGCCCAACTTCTCTCTGTTGCCTCCTGTATTACTCCGTACTCCATTTTCCCAGCCAAAGTCGTGCCACGGCGAGATATCGACGTCGTGGAAAACGGTTGCGGGTACGGCCCCAACCTCACGGACGCGGATTCCTGTGACAATCATAACCAATTTTGAAAATCATAGCGCAGTCAACCCAAGTGTCGCGGCGCGCGCGATTCCACCATGTCGTCCACGCTCACAACAAGAGTATCAACGACGGCATACCCTCCGTCCGTCGTCACATCCTTTCCTAGGAACCCCCTCACCACGACCTTTTCCCGGCCCTCAGACTGTGATGGCATCTACCTGTCGGGTTTTCTGGCCATGGTAGATCTAAGCTCTACCTGCCTGCCCAGTAACTTCAAATCAGACGCCTACTTCTCGCCCGGCCTCGTCTGTCCGTCGGGCTATGTATCCGCGTGCCATGATACAACCGGCGTGGCATCGATCACAACGGTAACGTGTTGTCCTGCTCTCAAGAACCCAGACGTCACCCTGGGCTGCCTTACCACGAGCACACTGTCGGGGAGTTGGTCAACGCTTTACTGCACATGGATTGCACCTCCGAGTTCAGACTCCATCCTACCCGTGACAACGAGTGAAAACGGCATCACGACCACGCAAACCTTTGGCTTTCACAGCCCCGAGGGTCTGAATGCTTTTGGCATCCGAATGGTCTACCAGTCCTCCGATCTTTCGACGAAACCGACAGAATCGACAACACACAGGTCTGCTTCCCGCCCATCAGGGGGTGCGGCCACTTCGAATGCATCACAGGACACCGATGAGCCGGGCGGACTCTCTACAGGTGCCAAGGTTGCCATTGGAGTTGTTATCCCTGTTGTCGCGATTGCGGCCTTGTTAGGAGCCTTCTTTTGGTGGCGGAAGCGCAAACACCGTTATCAGGTTCCGCCGCAGGCCGCGGACAAGTCGCCAACACCACGGCACGCCGAACTGCATGGAACGCCTTTCCATGAACTTATGGCGCAGCCGAATAATCCTGTGGAACTAGCAGGCTCAAACCCAGGAAATGAATCTGGTCCTGGAAAATAGGGAACGTCAACCAGATCCGCTCGGCGTGAGCATGATCCCTGGGTGGTGCGCCAATGCCGTGTTTGTTAGAGCTTTTTCTTTGGCACATACATTCATCAGCATGATCCATTATAAGCGATTCATCGTACCCTTTATCACCACCAAATATAGCGGTAATTTCTGTTTATGACTGTGGACCACCTAGTCGTTACGACACGACGCATGGCAGGGACTACACACCTTTATTCCCCTATTGTGGCGTGCTGGCGACATGCTAGCGGCATTTACTCTGCCATTCGATATTAAAGTTGGAGGCGACAGAGAACAGAATCTGGGGAACTCGATCCATACTTGGTTGCAGGTCCCTAGCAAAGCCTGTAGTCCGAAGACACGCCCGGGACATGCCCTCTAGATGTCCACGTGATATAATATCACGAAGAGCGGGTTTTGCTTCGTGAGAATGTATATATGCTCAGTCGCGTACAACCGTCAAGAGCTACTACACACCCTAGAGCCGAATAAGTTGTCAAATTCCAGTGTTGGATCTCGTCCCGGAAACACACCTGGTGCTTCAGGTCATGATTGGTCCCATACCGTAAGTTTTACCTGTTGGCGCCTGACGCTTCTCTGAGTTAAAATTCCCAGTCACAAAATAACCATGAGACTGACCTAATTGCTCTACATGACTAACTCGAGCGTAACTGGAAGTGTAACCTGAAAATCATCCGTCGCCGAATTTCCACGACTTTTGGGCTGCTGCTGGGCTGCGATGCTGCAAACCTGACGGGTCTGCCAAGTCCCAAACCTAGCGGCCTGACGTGTGAGATACGTATCTCTGCCACGTAGAACTATCGTGGCGAGACATTCTTGTGAAGCTGGTGTCGGGCCGAGTAAACGGCCTTTTAGACTGGGAAATGGACGGTTTTTAGCCGGAAAGGTGACCGTACAGTAGAGCGTGATGAATGTTCAAGGAATCAGCCGTGGCGGAATTAGCCGTTGAGGTAACTGACCAAAACATATGCGACAGAGACAGACTTGTTAGATTAAAATCAAGGGACTTTTTGCCCTGGTTCTAAGCGATTGGGATATTGTGGCATTCAAGAACGTCAATCACACATCTGAGGTGGGATTGTACTTGGTAAGTTAGTATGAGCTAGAGGGTTCATTTATCGGTTTGCCGGGAATTTGGTACCTAAAATAGATAGCAATTGTAGATCAGTGATTATTTGTGAGTACCATGCGCTGATCATGGGAAGAGCATCAAGTCGCGTAAGGCATTAGTTTTCAAGAATTGCAGTTGTTGGATATCTACACACACCGAAATATATGCGGTTCGTAGTTAGTAACGACATCTCTTCGAGATAGCTTCAAGGTGAGCAAAATATCCTTGCGACTCTGCGTCTGTTAGGCTTTTGACGGACGAGCCTGCACGAAGATCAAAAAGATATCCATGGCACACGGTATGGCCACTACCATCCGCTACACGGACTTATCGGTCTTGTGTTTATCAATATGAGTCCGTAGCCTGCAACGAGCCCAGTCACCAGTGTCAGGAGGAAATGGCTTCAGGCACTAGCAGCAACCCTGGGCGACACCACAAGGCGCCAGTAACACCCCCCTGGATCTGCACAAATATTATGTCATAATGTCGTGGTTCCTTGCGACAGTGTTGGCCGAATTGCACGACATTGAGTCTTGATTGTGAAGGCGTTGGCTGCTGCACAGTGGGCAACGATGATCGACAAGGGCTAGTGACGCTCGATTTTGGCTGTGAGGATGCCTTTTGAAGATGTGCCGACAAGGTTTTATTCGGGTAGCTCCGTAGTGAGACCATGACACTCGCGTTGAGTGTACTTCTCAAATGTTCTCATCCGAGATACTACTGGCATCGGCATAATTTTGGCAGATCGCAACTCTTTTCGGTACGACTGTGCCGGCGCGACAGGAATCCTGGCCAGAATGCAATATCATCAAACGACGGATTTCTGGGCGTCGTGGGCTTGCATGAGCTATTAATATCTCAAACGGAAGGCATAAAATACACCGTCGCCGCTCTCACACAGTTATCCTATTTCGTGAGACCGTGCTGTACTCCGTACTTTGCATGATTTCCAGGAACGCATTACTCAATGCCAATTCCTAAAGGCCCCCGAGTGGCGAGCTCGGAGCTCGTGGATTGCTACCAACTGTTGTGCCCAACTCAACATCCTACTCGGGGGCATGCTGTTGGACGGAATACGTCGCTGGGCAAGTTCAATCTTCAGGGGACCCTTTTCAGGGGCTCTTGAGCAAACCGCGCCACGGCCCACGAAGGAACGAATACAGTCACGTAGTTTGGCTGATCCGGCCACCAGTGGGAACCCCAGATGTGATCCTTGCAAGGGGCGCGCAGTGTTGGCGACGGTCGAATGGTGGATCGTGGCCAGAACGGTCATGGCCCGTGTTTGTAGCTCAGCCATTGATTGTCCCTAGAACTTGCACGGTGCAGCCATGTTGAAGGCAAAACTTGACAATAAAAAAGGCCTCAATGTCGCCCCAGATGGCACTTCGAAGATCGTGTCATACCCAAGACAAAAACTGGTTGACTTTACACCACGGGCCTAGCCGTGAGCTAGCAGCGCATTTCCCAGTTTGGTCAGGGGCTAAAATGCTTATTTTTTCTTGGCTCCGTTATACATTGGACGGCTGGCCTAAAATACTCCGTGCTCCATAAACTATGGTACTCCTGCTCCCTCGTAGTCGTGGCTTGTTTCGGAATTTGACACAACCACTGACTCTTCCGTTTGTTAGATGATGTGTGGTGGCGGTGAAAAGTGTATTAGTACTACTTATTGTCTTGGGCATCGTATCGACTGTTAGGAACCGGCAACGAGTGCAGAGCGTCAGCAATCGATTCTTTGCCAATCGAGGCAACGCCAACCATATGTATGTTGTTGCCAGATGGATGTTAGTATTGCCATCGCCAGCGGTACTAGGAGGCGCAGCACAATGCTTACCTGCGAATGCGGCCACTTGTCCGAGATGTTGCCCTTTTTTTTGCCATGTGGCGCTTACCGTTGGGCCGAAAGCCCCTGGCTCCTGGTGGCGGTCAGCGCTTGGAGGGTTGGAGGGTTGGTGTCTGCGGGTCAGGAAAGGGCGTGATTCGTTGATTTGCCTGATGTTTGGTGGTCTGGTGGTGAATTTGCAATTGACCTTTTGGTATGCGGAGGCTGTCGGCTGTGACATGGAAACAGAAAATTGCAAAGGGGGCAGGGATTTCAGCTTCAGGACCAGTTGAGGAGGCGAAGGTGGAAGGCGAGAGGATGGCCGCATGTACGTGCCTGCCTGCACATGTGAGTGGCGTGAGTGGATGAGTAGGGAAAGCACTGCCGGCACTCCTGCCTCAACCCTTGACGATTCTTAAACAGGCATGGCCTTTGTGTCCTTGACCTTCAATTTCAGGTTCCTTTCATGTTTGTTCTTTTTGCTCCCCTCGTTTCTTTGACGACCTAGATATTTAGCTATCTGTTCTTTCTCTCGTTATGATCTTCTCCTAAGCCCTAGATTCCGGCGCCACAGTCCTTTCCCGAATCCTTTCTATTCATCCACCATCGCTATACCACTTGTCATATTTTTCTCTATATTTATCTGCGAGCTTGTCCTGCCGGCGTGCATCTGAGACAACATGGCCGACGGCGGTGCGGCAGAGGTGACGACCATGTTTGAGCCGTCCAAGACAAATGTCCATACAATGGATCATGAAAAGAAGCACGCAACTGAAGCACAACCGGAAAACATTCAGTCTCCAATGTCGCCCACCGCCCCCCATGTACCATTCCCGTTCCCTCGCCGGACATCGCTCGAGATCGACGACTACTTCACCGGCCCACGAGATATCTCGAAACACTCGAAATGGCCGATATTTCTCCAAATGCACGGCAGCATTCTGCCCAAGATGATTCTTCCCCTGATATTTATTGCCGGATGGTCAACTGCTGTTACCGTCATCAGCATGAAGATCCATGATCTTGGTGTGCAATCAGTTCTCTTGACAATCACTGGTTTCGTAGTGGGTCTTGGCCTATCCTTCAGAAACTCAACCGCCTACGAACGCTATGCCGAAGGCCGAAAATTTTGGGCCGCACTGGTTTTGGCTTCCCAGGTCCTAGGACGTGTCTTTTGGATCCATGGGTTGGACCATCCCGAAGCCGACCCTCGAGAGTCGGTTCTGAAAAAGCTAAGCTCTATGAACCTGCTTGTTGCCTTCGCTGTTGCCCTCAAGCACTCGCTACGCTTCGAACCGTACACTGCATACCCTGATTTGCAAAATCTTGTCGGGCATTTGGATACATTTGCCAAAGAAGCAACAAACGAGGACGCATCGTCTTTTACTGCTCCCAAAAAGAATTTTTTCAAAGGACTGGGAGAATATCTTGGTGTCTCGTTTGCAGCCAGCAACCCACGGAAGACGCTGAAAAAGGCGACACGCCCCCTTGGCAACCTCCCACTCGAAATTCTCAATCACATTGCTGTCACCATTGACCACATGGTCAGGAATGAGCAGCTGAAGGTGCCTATGCAGCAGACCTTGGCCTATAACAACTTGAGTGTTCTCAACGACGTTATGACTGGATGCGAACGAGTGCTCAACACTCCCCTGCCAATTGCATACACTATTGCTATTAGTCAAATCACTTGGCTTTACGTGGTGCTCCTCCCTTTCCAACTCGTCAAGTATGTGGGCTGGATCACGATTCCCGCCACCTTGGCCGCGGCTTACATTATTCTCGGACTTCTATTCATCGGCCGAGAAATTGAGAATCCCTTTGGTCAAGACGTCAATGATCTGCCGTTGGACGGTTTCTGTGACCAGATCGCGGCCGAGTTGGATATAATCGCCTCCTACGATATGCAGAACCCGTATGGTTTTTTCATGAAATCAGAAAATATGCCCCTTTATCCCGTCAGCACCGCCTCCGCTGGCACCTGGATACACCGAAGTGAAGAAAAGCTCAGAGAAGCTATTAAGACAAAACCCGTGACCACGTTCGAATGGCGAAGGTCACGATCAGGTCACCACCAGGGCTCTAGTACCCAGGCAGGCGACCACAATGTTTAGATCCATTCACAATCGTCCAATACTGCCATGAAATCGAAGCCCAAATCAGTGGGGCTATAGAATACAGATTGTTTAATCGTTTTCGTTTCACATTGCAACTCAATAGTTAGAGGCCAGCAAAAAGAAGGACAAGTCTCCAGGATCCTATATATACCAGGTTGTTTTCGGAGTAATATAAGGTAGATAAAAATATACAGTTTTGGAATACAAAGAACTTTTTTTACGCCAAAATACATGCTGATGCCACGTTAGGCCAATGACCACTCTTCCCCGCCGGCGCAAGACTGATGACGTTCAATTTTTATATAAACAATCAGAACCTTCTTTCTCAGCGCCCATCATTGTGTAACCACTTGAGACATACTGTCAATGCCATCGATATAGGGATAAGAATGACCCAAGCAAGGTGGCCCCATAATATCTGATGACGAACACCGACAGCATAGACGGCAGAAGCGACACCGGGCACGACTGAACGAATGGCGCTGGTGCACGTCAAGGCGATAGCATTGAGAGTTCCGAGCTGTTGAGGCGCTGGAGAAACGTCGTTCAATGCCAGTTGCACTCCGGTGAAGGCCATGGACACGCCGGGACCGACAAATGCAACCATGGAACCTAGTATCCAGAACCAAGCCATGGCAACTTGACCGCCGTCCCGAAGCAAGGTGTTCATGACAATGTAGCCTGCGAAAAAAAACGGATACGCAGTAGCACACATTTGCAACACCCCCTTAGTACCTAGGCGGTGCTGCAGGAATGGAAAAGCGAATAATAGCCATACGGCCTGACTACCGCCCTGCGCAGCCAAGTATATTGAAATTTGCATAGCTGAGCATCCCAGACCGCCGATTTCGACAGGGGTAAACAATGCGACTGGGAGAAGTGCTGTAAAGGCAAACGCAAGAAACATGACGTGGCCATAAATCCATAACACGACACCGACCCCTGGAGCTTTGATAAGCTGCCATATCGTCATTTTCGAAGCATCGGGGTCTTCCGAGTTGCTGTTGAAGCTCTCACCAAGGGTCTCGTTTGTGTTCAAGGTTTCTTCGAGAAAGAACATTGACGTCAGCGCAGCGGTAGCGCTAATAGCGCCAACAACGAGACCCGGAAGGGCATATGGGTAGTTTTCAAAGAAGCCAATGCCGCCGAACAAACCTGGGTATTGGTTCGCAGGATCTGCCAGAGCACCGCCAATAATTGGGCCAAGAAAGATGCCCACATTGCCTGCAAAGGCGAACCAGCTAAACGCAACAGCCTGGGTCTCGGGCGTACTGTGGTCGCCAATCATTGTTCGAATAATCAAGCTCGACCCCGAAACCACGCCGGCAACGCTCCTGAACAAAACCATCTCCCCAATACTTGTGGCAAGTCCAAATAATGCCGGCCCAATCGTCAGGCCACAAAGGCTGTAGATCAAGATGGGTTTGCGGCCTACCTTGTCTGCAAGTCGTCCCCAGAATATGAGAACGACGGTCTGCGTTCCAGAAAAGACGGACTCGATGAGACCGCTGTAAAAGCCCACATCCGAGTCGGGTAGGTTTCCATTGCGCTTCACCATTTGCGCAATATAGGGGAAGATGGAGAAGAATGCAATAGGCTCCATCATCCGAGCGTAACACAGTAAGGCAATTTGAACTTTGGGCAGCGGCTTTGCCACGTTGGCTGAATCGGAGACAGGCTTTGTCGAGCCATTTTCTGAATGATTCAAAGATTCGGTTGATGCTCTGGCGGTTGAACAGCGATCATTCTGGAGAAGAGGCGTTTCCTCGGAGGCACCGTGGGTGACGATGCCTCGTCGTTGCTGCGGACCTGTTTCTTCCGACATGTTGTCGTATAAAGGCCAAGCGAAGATTGGTAGGAGTCTGGAGAAGCACCAGGAACGACCCGAGTCACCCGAGTCACCCGACTGATGCAGCACCTCTCGAGACACCTCTTTCACGCCATTAAGAGAATGCAATCAAAGCTTGAATCGAAGGCTATACCGCGTCAACCTTCTAAAACCCTTAGCTTTGATCAAAATTTCGCGTATCGACGGGCTGTATTGTCTTTAGTCATAGACCCCGCCAGCGCCGGATAGTGTACCCAGGCTTCGTGGACGCGGGCGGGAATAGTATGGCTGTAGTATTGTTTCTGGGGCCGCGGGATTGCTCGGGGACGATACAGATGGTCGGGGAAGATTGATTAGACGTGCATCGGGAGTGCATGGAACGAGAATTGCAATGCCAGCCGCGGAATTGTGCAATTTGAGTCCCGAGCACGGAACGCGGTGCGGTGGTACAGAGTCTGGGTTACTGTTTTGGAAACACAACCATGCAGATGTGGGTTCCCGACTGATCCTTGTCCGTGATTGATTGATTGGTTTCTGCGGGACAAATGGAGGATCATCTATTACAAACGGCACGCTTGCTATGCTGAATCGAAATAAAAGCCAACCAGTGATAAAATCCACGCCGCAGTACGGAGTACGCTGACATCAACAGCAATAATACCGTCTCCCAAGTGTAACCGTCAACACGAGTCCCACTGTACGCCATACACCAACACCAGAGACTGTGCCACATGGCCTGTTCCGATACCGCCAGATTCGAGTCGAACTGCCTGTGCCCGGACGCTTCAGTTGGGCAATCGCCTGTTGGTTGTGCCACCACCTAGTTGTCATTCGAATTGCCTCGATTGCGACGATGACCTCCTCCTTCCTCGGCATTTATACAATATCAGCGCGCCAAGGACAAGGGCCGCAACTCCAGCTAAGGACCTGCATTAGTGTTTTTTTCTCTTCTTTTCGATCAAGTTTCAGCAGTAACTAGGAGGGCTTACTCAGTGAGCCGAACACGATTCCTATGGCCCGACTACTATCTCGTACCTCCTCCGTCGCCACCGGTGGGGTGAGCGAGCCCTTATTCTCCTCCGATGGATTGTTGGAATTGTTGGGATTTGCTGTCGCGGGGAGCCCGGCCAGCGATGTACGGGAACCTGTGGGCTGCGTTGCAAAAGTCGTGGGAGGCAGGTAGGGTAGGGTTATAGAGGGGGCTGCAGACAACCCAGTTGGCCATTCTACGCTCGGCGTGGGAGACGGGGAGGCAACCAGCAGCGGCGGCGGCGTTGAAGCTTGTGAACCCGTGGAAATGGACGATGCGGAGGACAAGGACGAAGCTGAGGACGAGGCCGAGGACGAAGCCGAGGATGAAGCCGGGGACACGGGCGAAACTGAAGGCGGACGCGGTGATACAGCGCTTGATGGCTCTAGTTGCGCAAGATTGCTTGTCAGTGGCGTTGGAGCAGAGACACCAGAAATCCTTGTGTTTGATGTCGAAGTTTGTGCTTGAGGAGGGGTTGGCAAGGTGGTTGGCTCGTCTGAAGGTATCGCGTGGGTCAGCGTGATGATGAAGCCCGGCTTCACGCTGTTTGCTTGCGTCTCGACGTTGTTTGCGCCTGTTTCGAGTCCGTCGATGACCGCGTCCAACCACTCAAGTATTTGTTTATGTTTCGGATTCGACATGTTGGTGCTATCGCGACAATACGCGGTATGGCGAAGGGGGGAAAGTCGACATGAAGCCGGCGACCAGTCTGGCTGGTCACGGAGCACAATGCGAGTACAGACTAGCTGATGCAGGAGGAGATGAAGAAACGGGAGGGCCTTTTTACTTAATTATCTGAGCTACGATGAATAATAGGCAAAGACAGTACGGGGACACGCAACCCATCATTCGAAACAGCGTCGCACGGCCTCACGCTCATGGGGAAGAACCTTGAAGACTCTGCGCTCAGTATGTGATTGGACGAGTGAAGAAGCTTAGCATTAAAGTGTAGACAGATACTCATGAAACGTGTTTGGAGAGCAGGATGGATGCCCGATCGAGGTGGGGAGTTTCAGACGGAGTTGGTGCGCAGCCGTCTTGGCTAAACGGCATGTGTTGGAGATGAGTCCTGGAAAGCCGGGGAAGCTGGACCACAAGACGGCAAAGTTGGCCCAGTGTTTGGGAGGTGTTTCTAGTCGCCGTCTGATGTTTCGGGAGCCTCTAGAACGATTCTAGCCGGGGTTTGTAAATGGCCATCGACGCTGGATCCGACCGGGAAGGCGAGGAGACCGTGGATAGAAATATGGAATTTCGGTTGCCGGTCCTGGAATCTCGTCCTGTTTGCGGATTGAGTCTTTTTCTGGCCATGAAATTCCGTCACACCAAAAGAGTACCAAAAAATGGGCGTCGCCACGCCACGGGATTTCATGTGTGAGGCACACCTAATTACTGTGCGACAAATCTGCAGTGCTGAGACGGGGTATGGATGACCAAGATCAGGTTCCTGATTATTGGGCGATCCTGATGATGCTCGACTTGCGACACGCCATCGAATCTTGGTGGAGGCCTCAAAGGATTTAGACGAAAATAGCATGTTGTCGAAGCAGCGGAAGAGAATTTGTGAGTCGAGAAAGGATGCACGTCTGTGCGTCCTGCAATTCGTGTCTGCGGGAGATCTGGACCACTGGGAACATCAGCATCTGTTTATATTACTAATTCATGGCGGCTTAAGGAACCTTGGGGACATGGAAAGCCTTGTCCAAAACTCTCTTGAGCAGGATTCAACGTTACTATTGCTCCCAGACTACTCGGCATTTGAGCCTCCGCTGCATGGCCTTTACGGGCCGGGTACTCGGTCGTCTTGGCAGACCTATTTTTACGTCGGTGGCGTCTGGTACTTTTGTAGGACCATGGACCCGAAAACGATGTTGCGGGTATCATATACCTGGTCCTTCAGGACATGGTGCCAGGCAGTCAGAGAAAGAACGTATTTCGATGTCGTCCAATGAATTATCTGTTAGTGCTTATTATGCCAGGAAACCTGTGCGAATAGTTGCTTCTTCTCACATATCAGGAATCAGTGCCGAATGGTGATGTTCTCTTCCCACAATCAGGAATGGGCAATGGGCACGGAGAGTAATTCCTCTTCGGGAACGTGTATTGCTTAGCATGCCGTTCCTACAGCTCAGGGAAACAACGGCCCTATAGTTGAGCGGTGAGATTTGAGGTGAAAATTTCGACAAGAACGGGTTGGCTTTGGCAACACCAAAACATGGTATCCTCGTCAGATTCCTTTCTCTGGCGGTCGTACTCATAGAACCTAGGGCTTGGGGTTGATTGATGGCAGCAGTCGGAAACCTGATCAAACAAGCCGAAAGCGTCCCACCTGCGTTCCCGGCGCTGTACAAGATGGCAACTTGTCAAGATGCATCCTCGCCGTGAATTGTCGCGTTTCTGTGAGCTGTTAATGCAGAAAACGGCGACTGCCTAGCTGTACGGAAGCACCTTGGCTAGAAAGTGCAATATGGTAAATCCCAAAATCTCTTGCTTATAATCGCCATTTTCTTCCAAGTACATGATATTATTTTCATAGAGGGTTTGAAGCAAGATGGGCGAGATCTACGCAAGCCGCCTCTTGGCCTTTGTGCGCTAGACGTTCTCATGCTCATTGACTGTGTCACCAACTGCCCGTTAATCTAGGAGTCGACATTCCATTTTGGGAGTACCAGCAGTCACTTCATGTTGCGATTCTAATGCGAAACTGGCATCGTCGAGGCCGACGCTGTGGTCGTAGCCCGGCTTTTCTTGGACCATGGCTCTACGGCAGTCGAGCATAGAGAAGACTGCCATGTTGCAAGAAGCCGGCCATCATTCGCGTTCAAGGTCGGATCCATGGGGTGGATTGTTATTGCTCGCACCGTCCGCCTGGCCTGTTTCCGAAATGAGAGGGCTGAGGCGCCACGGGTTCAGTTCAAGGAAGCGTCCAAGGGCGTTGGTCGTAGGGTGACATGGCGACTCTCCTCCAAGGCGGCCAGCACCTGATGACGACGTCGGCCCTGGCGGACCTGATGCGTAGATGCGCCTCGGGCGGTTCACCGAGGAACAACTGCGTCGTCGACGCTGTCATGGGGCTGTACATGGCCATTGTTTACTTTTTCGCTCTGAAAATAGTACCCAGGTCGAAGCGTGGGCCAAGAAGTACGGGTGTCTACCGGCTCAATCGCCTCGGCGTGGCGGTTTGGTTACTAGTAGTAACTACTGCATCAGTCATCCGGGAGTGGTCCGGATGCCTGGTTGGCAGCGAGCTGCATGTGATTGATGCCTTTTGATTCTCATGATTGATGCCACTGCAAACTTTGAATGGGTTAGAGGCTGAGCAGGGTGGCCCGGCCCGCGCCATGATTGTGGGGACCCCGCACACAAGGTACATAGGTACATGGGCTAGGACGTCAACCTTCAGCGTTAATTAGAGCCGCGACATAGCAACCTGACTTGGGCAGAGTCACTGATGCTTGTTTCGTATAATACGACAACAGCTGGCCGTAATTATGTGCTGGCAGTTGGCGCAACGCAGGCCTGGAGGGAGTCCTCAGAGGCATTATAACAGGCTAAAACAGACCATTGTTTTGCAAGACGAGTGGCTCTCTTCCGAATTCGGTAACCAAAAGATAACTGTAGAAGCAGGCCCCTCGAAAAATTTCCTGCTTGTCCTTGGAAGAAAATGCACTCAACTGGTCCGCACCTATCATCCTTGTCTATTCACCAACCCATTGCTCAGTGTGTTACTCGGGTTGAGAATTTTGCTCGCCCGAGACTCCAAAACAGCGTGTTGGTTTGACCTGCGCAGAGCATCCAACCAACATCCAGCCAACATCACAACCAAACTCCGGATGTTACGGCATCCCCGGTGTCCATGACAAGTTCTGCAAGTTTCTAGAACTGTTGGCCGAACTTTCATAACAACAATTCTGCCCTGGTCAGTGCAACTCTTTTGTTCACAGTCCTCTCCATTTCTTGGCTCCTTACTAATTCGATAACTTGGCCTCTCTATTCTTCGTGCTAGACACTCCGCGGAACTCTGCTCTGCTAAGAGCGCGTGCCACCATAGGACCATAGGACCCAATGCTGATGATGTGTTATGCCAGAACACATGGGCCACTTGCAGGCGCACACCGCGAATGCCTGGAGAAACGGACGCGAGGCAGTATAAACTGACATCAGACGCAACATCCTGCCACACCAAAGCTCGCTCAGACGTCCTCGTGATGCACCCGGTGGTTTGCAAGCTCATGGTCTGCATCCATATGCGCAGTTCTTTGCATATGCTCGTCCCGAATGTGGTGTTGGTATGTTTTCATAAAACAGATATCGTGGACGACGAGTTGTGGCCGTAATCAGTGGAATATATAAAGTAGCTTGGGCAAGACCTAGCCTCAGATCATCTCCGTCACAATCCATCTACATTACTCCCTACCCTAGATTCTCTACACATATTTTGACCCTCAGTTGAGAAGAAATACGCCGCAAAAATGCCCTCTGAAATTCTTAAATGCTTAGGCTGCGGACACCTCTACTCCTCTACCCAACCAGAATGTCCTTGGAAGAGTGTGCACAAAACGAAAGAAACTACAAAACCAACTACGGGTATGGAAGCCATCTCATCCAAGCTGCGACACTCAGTACTGTCACTGAATAAATATCCCAGAAAAGCCAACCACCAAGACTGGTACCTAGGTACTCAGGGACTAGCTATTACGCTGCATGGGGATGAATGGTGAAGGTAGAATGACGGGGGATGCTCGCTCTATATATAAATATATATGTAGAGATTATTCCGATAAATCTACTCCTCATTCTGATACATGATTTCCAAAAGCTCTTCCACGTCATTCCTTTCTCCATCAAGCGCAACTGACGGGCCAGGGCGTCGGAAAAACTCAGACTCAAACTCCTGTGGATAAAACCCAGCGTATTCCCAGTCAATGACAGCCTTTACTTTGAGGCTCACTGGATCGACGATGACATTATGAGCGGAGAAGTCGTTATGGCAGAAGACAAGGTCACTAGACTCCCTCGGCTTCATCTTCCAGGCTTGACGGTACGCTTCTACCATGATCCGGTACGGCGGGATCACCTGTACAGAAAATGTTAACTGAGGAATGAGAAATGGGAGGTGTGGGTGCTTACAATTCCTGAGGGTCCTCCCCATACACTGGACTTCAAACCTCTCAGAACATCCATGTAGCCCTCTAGCTCTAATTCAACCGATTTGCGCTGTGCTGGTTCGAGATCAGCCAATTTCACGCCCTCGATAAGCTCGGTGACCAAGTACACTGCGTTGTCATCCTCAAAGCAGCCATAGAGCTTTGGCACGGGGATATTCGTATTTTCAGCAATGAAGCGCAATGCCGCGGCCTCATTCAAGATGCGCTCATTGCCGAAGCGAGGTATGCTCAGCGTACCGACGACCGGATTGTGCTGCCATTCAGAGGGACGAAGACTGCGTTTGACAAAGGAGCCGATGAGGCTGTAATACTTGCGTTCATTCGTAACAGCGACACAATCCTTTTCGCGTCGCGCATTAAGCATGCCAGGTGTGACCGGACACATGTCTTCGACAGACCAGGTAAACTTGATCAGTAGGCAATTGAAAAGAGGGAAGCAGATTTGAAGGTACCCGACTTGCCTGAAACTCGGTTGAGAGGCGTGGTATAAGAGGAACGCCCTGTTGGCCCCGGCACAAACATGGATGGCATCGGCCACAAGAACGAATGGTAATGGTGATGGCATCGAGCACCCAACAAGCTAGATGGTGCGTGCACCTCACCGCCACGATGCTACACTATAGCGGGCAAGGTTCATGAAGCATCAAAAGTATACTTCGAGCAACCTTGGAGTGGCTGACTCGAGAACAGCGAGTTCACTGGCTCTCTCCTTCATGGTGAAGTCGTCTTCCAAGTCGTCGTTGGCAAGTACGATGCCAACAATCCTCCACCCTCGCAGCGCGGATCCCGAATTGTGTGCTCTCAGACACCTCCCCAATTCGCCCAAGGAGGGATAGGCAACCAAGCTGAATCGAGTCATTGGTCGGGTCGGGCATTGAGCCCGGCCGGTTGTGCCATGGAGCAGAGCAGAATCCACGTCACTGCGTTCCAAGTTACAGCTCATTTGCAAGACGTCGACGTGGACATTGCAGGGTTTGACTCACACTGTAATGTCTTGTACGGTCCGTGCCGGAGTATGGCCCAGGAATTCATCGCTCCGGAATGACGCTGGTTGAGCGATTGGTGTGGCAGTGATGAGGGGGCTCAAAAAATACCAGACTTTCGTTCCAACCAGCCAACGCTCCTGCCTCGGGCAAAGTTGAGGAAGAAGAACCAGACGCTCCTGCCTCAGAAGCAAAGCTTAAGGAAGAGAAATGAAGGCCCGACATCAGACAGGCATCATAGGCGTTATGGCAATCAGAGTCATAGGGAAAAATAGAAGAAGATAAAAAAGATGAATATAAACAAATATGTCGCAATATCGCAGGTATAATATTATGAAAGTGCCTCAAGTAGGTAATGTCATGTCACCGTCCAGCTGTGGGGCTGTTCTTCAATTCCTAACGCGACATTGCTCAGCTCACCGATCCCCATCTCTGCATCAACAAGCATCATCGGTCAGCTGAAAAGGACTGGCCGGTTCTATATCCAGCACGCACGGGCCCATCCCGGCCATGAGCAAGCGAAATCTTCTTTTGTGCTTCGACGCGTTCGGCACATTGTTTAGCCCAAAGGCGTCCGTGGCCCAGCAATATGCCCAGGTCGCACACCAATGCGGCGTCACCAGCTTCACCCAAGACGAGCTGCAGTCCCGCCTATCAGCGGCGATCAATCAAGAAAGGGAGAGGAATCCCAACTATGGCAAGGATACGGGACTTGGCGCCACTCGGTGGTGGACGAATGTGAGTCCCTCGCCATCAGGCCTCGGTGTGCCTTCGACACATCGACCGCTGCCTCCTAACGCGAAAGTAGGTGATCCAGGCGACCTTCAAACCCTTCATCCCACATAACCAAGCCCTACCGCCGGCTCTGGTCCCCAAGCTCATACATCGATTCGCATCCAACGAGGGATACGCCGCGGAGAGCAGTCTCCTTTCTACGCTGAGGGCGTTTCGGCAGCGCAAAGCTCGACAGGGCTTCGAGCAGGTCATTGTGGGCGTGGTGACGAATTCAGATGACAGGGTGCCGAGCATTCTTTCTTCCTTTGGGCTGAATGTCAGTCCCTTGCGCTACGGCACGCCAGGCGGGCCGCCCGTGTCGCCGGAGGAGGAGTACGACATTGACTTTCACTGCATGTCGTATGATGCAGGCGTCGAGAAGCCGGACCGGCGGATATTTCAGGCGGCTGAGCTCATGCTGAGCCGTGTCATCGCCAGCCGGGCTGGGCAAACCCCGACCCCCGCTGAGCTGGCGAGCTGGCAGAAAATCTACGTCGGTGACGAGTATGCCAAGGATGTTGTGGGCGCTACGAATGCGGGCTGGAACCCGGTGCTGCTTGATGTCGAGGGGAGGGCCATGGAGATTCCCAAGTTGGAGGACTGCCCTGCCAAAAGTGTCAATGCCCTGTTTACCGAACATGAGGTTGTAAGGGTGCGTTCGTTACGAGACTTGGCCGCGTGGATGACGGGCGTGGAATGAGAGACGAAATGATGATTCATTGCATGTGCACTTAAGAGGGGGGGTTCATAGCCAAGGTGAGGATACAAGAGCGTTGCGACTTTGTCGATATTGCACGGCATGGCTTGCTGGCATACGGTCGGTAGGGTTGGGCAGGTAAACCCACGTATCCTGAACCATACTAACTTCTGTTTTACGCACGAATCGCGTAAAATGTGTTTTTTTTTACTGAAGAACAGTGGAATTTTCTTTAGATACGCGATGAGAAGCACCTCGACCAGCTGAAGCGCACTGACTGACGAAGCTGACAGAAGAGATTGTGTCATACTTCCGTTTGCCCTGTGACTCATCTGCGGTTACTCTTTGAGCCGCAATCAGATCTGATACGAGCGAGAAAAGCAACCCTGTCGGCCAGTCCAACGCGCCATGGCCTCGCCGGAGACTTGTCCCGGAGACTTTTAACAAGTGACCCACATTTCCCGGGTCCGGCGCGGAAAAAGAGGCCGAGAGGCTCCCGCCGCCGTCCTTGATAAAAGCCGCGCTTCACGGCTAGCAATGCAGGATTCTCCAAACTCGTTCTTCATACCTGACCACCAACTGCCACTCGTTTTTGCCAGAAATGAGCCCCAAGTTGTACGACGTTCTCATTATTGGCGGCGGCCCAGCCGGCCTATCCATGGCCATAGCTTTGGCGAGACAGGCCTACTCTGCGTTGGTTCTAGATTCTGGAGAGTACCGCAACGCAAGGGCAACACACATGCACAACGTGCCTGGATTTGATCATGTGAATCCCGTCGATTTCAGGACAAAAGTCTGCGAGGACCTGAGGAAGAGATATGAGCATATCGAGTTCAAGGCGGCCACGATCAAGGAGGTGCGCAAGTTGGATAGCGGCATCTTCGAGGCAATTGACGACCAGGGAGACAAGTATACCGGAAAGAAACTCGGCCTGGGTACCGGAGTGAGGGATGTGCCTCCCGCAGATATCGAGGGCTATGATGCCTGCTGGGCACGTCCCCCCCCCCCGGTGTACTTGATACTGATTTCCGATTATTTGCCAGGTTTCACTGCTTGTTTTGCCACGGGTTCGAGGAACGTGGTGCCGAATCAGTCGGGGTTTTGGCATCGGGCATGCTGACGGCCGCGGAGATGATTGCGCACGCAACACTCATGGCTAAGCGCCTCGCCAAAAGCACCACGGTCTACACCAACGGGAATCCTTCTCTACTGGAACAAGTCAGATCGATGCTGCACAGCAGCAAGATCACGTACGAGGACAGAAAAGTCGCAAGACTGGAACTGGAGAATGGTTCGGGACCGAGTGTAATTGTTCATTTTACAGACGGCACCAGCAAGAGGGAGGGCTTTATTACGAACCATCCCCTGGTTGAACAGCAGTCGCCGTTTGCGGCGCAGCTGGGGTTGGAATGCGCGCCGACAGGGGATATTGTGGTTACGGCTCCGTTTAATGAGACGAGTGTGAAGGGATGCTTCGCCGCGGGGGATGCGGCCACCATGATGAAGAGCGCTGTGCAGGCTATTCAGATGGGTATGTTTGCGGGTGTTGGGTTGGTGTCTCAGTTGCATCATGATTTGGACGAGAAGGATGAGCTCTGATGGACTCGATGGAATGGATTTGTGTTGGGACATGTTTGAACAGGATGGCAATAACAACTTGCCGGGTAAAGATTATTGTAGACTCTTATACGACCATGTTTGCTAGCTGTCTATGGAGACTCGCATATGGCTGTCATCATGATTGCTTGCGTGCTAACATGTCACTTTTGGTCCATATACACTTTATCCACTCCTCCGAATACAATGTAAATGGAACTGATTCTCTACTATAAACAAGTAAGTGTAATCAACTCGCCAGTACCCGGTTCATGGGGATATTAGTCTGCAATCTATTGATCATCTACAACTACCTAGGTATTCAAGGCAACAGCAGCCAAGCGTATCTTCGTTCGAGCCCCAATTTGAAGCCAAACACGCATCCTTAAGAAGCCCGCTTCCCATACGGCTCAAACGGCAGCAAGAACGCACAAACCGCCAACCCCCCGTACAAGGCGGCACAAATAAAGACGGGCGCGACAGTCGCCGGGTTCGCATACGTCGCCACAACAGCAGACATGGCCCCAGTCAATCGACAAAAGGCGACGGCAATGCCATTCCCCGTAGCACGATGAGCAGACGGCAGCGTCTCCGCTGTGTACCCATACAAGACGCCGTAGTAAATCTCGAGCGTGAAGGAGATGACGCAGCTATACGCAACACTGGCCTCCTGAGACGCAACCTGCGAGTACGCAAAGAAGAAGGCCATTGTGGCCACGGCGCCCACCACCATGGTGTACCGGCGTCCCAAGACGCGGCAATTCGCCATGTGGCCGCCTAGCAACGGGCCAGGGATGCCGCATACCTGGACGAGAGCATAGTTGCGCCACGTCTGGTACGTGCCCGCGACGCCGAACTGCACGCCCCTGCTGGCGAGGTAGTAGGGCAGGAAGACGTTGAACAGGGGATACGCCAGGCCGATGATGGCCCACGACAGCCAGAGCAGCACGGTAGTCTGCGCCATCTTGCCGGTGGCGAACAGGGCGCGGGCGTGGATGGCAAACTCGCCCAGGGAGAAGCGGCTGCGGGCGTGGGCGAAGCCGACGGCGCCGCAGGCCTCGAGCTGCTCGACGCGGAGGGAGCAGGGCCGCCCGTACCGCGCCGCCAGGTCCGCGAGCACGCGGACCACCTCGGCGTCCTTGCCCTGTCCCAGGAGGAACTTGGGCGTCTCGCGGAGCCGGATGACGGTGACGCGGAGCGCGCTGAGGACCAGGATGAGCCCGCCCATGGTGTACATGAGGTATCGCCACCCGCGGTTGTCCCCTCTCGCGCAGTCGCTTGCGGCCGCGCAGGAGAAGGCGGCTGTGTATCCAGGCCCAACATCAAGGTCAGAAAGGGCAAGGCAGTGAGAAACGAGGGGGGGCTGCGGAACGCTCACGCATGTAGCCCCAGGCGACTAGGCCGGCAATCGTGCATCCTACTCCCCACCAGGCGGACAGCCAGCTGACCGTCCACTGCTTGCTCGAGGGGAGGTGCTCGAGGAAGACGGCCGTGTCGAGAATCAGGTTGCCGCCGGCGCCGAAGGCGGCCGCGGCGACGAAGAAGCCGAGCGAGGCCCAGGTGGGCGCGGCGCCGGCGGCGACGGTGAAGACGGAGCAGATGAGGAGGGAGGTGTTGAAGGCCGTCTTGCGGCCGATGATGTCGGCGAAGAGGCCCCAGAATAGGGCGCCGACGAGCATGCCCGTGTACAGGGCGATGGTGAGGCCCTTGGGGTAGGAGGGCTGGAACTCGAGGACGGCCTGGACGGATATGATGCCCTGGAGGCTGAGCTGGAGCGCGTCCACGGAGAAGCTGCGCGCCGTGAGGAGTGTGAGCTTGAGCTTGTGAGTCGAGGGGGCGTGACGTACCCGAAGCCGCTGAGGAAGAAGAGTTTCCAGTGGTAGTTTGTCCATCCGATCTCGTCGAGAGTCTTGTTGCGGACGGGTGCGTGAGCACACCGTGCCAACTTTTAAGCTGTGGGATTATTTGGGGGGACACTCACATTGTTCACCAGGTGCATCTTCTTGTCCATTCCGGGATCCAAGTCCTGCAGTGCAAGAATATCCTCGGCCGACGCATCTGGTTTGTCGGATTCGTGGTGTTTGTTCTTGCTCATTATTCGCGAGACACTTCTCTCGACGTCCGTCTCCGGGGTAGATTGATCTTGGAGGCATGCCATGCTGTCTTTTGGGTGCATGAGCCCACGATGGTCTGTTGTTGCCATTTGTCCAAGCCTTGGAGTATACCTTGATGTCGACAGGGAAAATAACGACTAAATAAAAGAGATACGTGAGGTTAAGTAGACAATCTATGGAGCCGGGGGTTCTCGATGGTGCGGATCAAGACTCAAGACTCGAGACGCAAGAGGCTACTGGAGGCTAATTTTCCCCGAATGACAGACCTCCCAGGGTCTTACTTTACAAGCGATGCACCTCATCGGCTTTTAGCAAATATATCGGTATCCACTTCCTCAGAAACCTTTAAACGAGTTGTCTTGGGAGCGAATTCTTCCCCCACAGCGACCGCTTGCTTTTATAGCAAAAGCAAGTATGTAGTACTCCGCGAATACTGACGTGGCCAGTGAGACCGTGCGCCGAAAGACCAGTTGACTCGAATGATTATGCCGGTCGCCTAAAAGGCAGAAAGACACACTGGATGGTGCATGTACTCCGTATGGATATCCAATAACCGCTGCATCGGTTTGCGTTGGTGGCACAGGCCATCGACTGGCTTGATCAATGGCAGTCTGGTTCAATAATTCGGACCAAAGGAAGTTTCGCCTCCTGAGCCCGGGTTGTCATTTCAGTTTTCGAAAGATGAATGTTTTGACCTCATCTTCTCGCCCCGAGTGTTCCCATACCTAGGTAGATAGGTGCGTGACGTTCAGCCCGATCGCGAAACTTAAAGACAAACCCTCCATCTTTATATCTTAGCCATACATCATGGATCGTGTTCTGTCCAACGGTGCTGAGCAGAGTTGGGCTTTGGACATGACGACCTAATGTCAATGGTATGGACAATTTTCTATTTTCCACCGCCAACAATGTCGTGCCAACTAACCATATCAAGGACGCATTCGACTGCGCTGTATGCAGATTCAGATAGCAGGACCCAGACAAGCCAGTCATTTTAGAACTCTTGATATACGGCTCCAGACGGCTCAACCTCAGGATCAAAACCCACGCCATGAACATGATCCTCCACCATTGAACTTTGCCCGAGGAAATAGCCCAAGTCAGAACGACACTGAGCATGGGAGGAGACGCCATCACGGCAGCACGTACGGGCATCACAGGTTCACGGCGGTGACTGATTTTCGCATAAGCAAAGTTGCCGTCGGCCGTCACGTTTGCTTGGCAGGGCACCGAGGCCGTTGTTGGACGTCCAACTCTCGCACCAGATCGTTGAGACGCAGGGAGCGGATGCTC